TGCTGTCTCTTTTCTGAGGTTTTTGTACCAAAGTAATTATTCGATAAGTCGATTCCAATCTGTATAATGTGTCAATATAAATTCACATGCATATCTTTCTCGTCTGTTATATTAAACACATTTAAAAATAATATGATGTGGAATATATGTTACAAATAAAAAATATGTACGGCGGCCTGCGTTTATGTGTTAATAGTTTCTGAATTAATTTATACTGTTGTATTAATTAAAATGCGTTCAAAGGATATAAATAGATGTTTGTCATTTGCGTAGCGATGTAGCGATTAAGCGCTCACGCACGTTACCGAGCACCTTGCTTATATCACTTCTACTTATAAAATTGCAATATAATTTAAATATAAAACATTATATATGGATTGACTCAGAACGAAAAATGCTAACTTTCTCCTCCATATATTATAATTTGATAAATTAATCAATTAAGCCTGATATAGTAATTTTGTTAATTATTAAAATTATATTTTTTATTTTAACCAAGCCTATTTTATTTTTCATAAAGAATCGTATGATTTGTTTAAAAAGTTTTTTTCTATCTGTAATAGTTATCGAGATAGTATAAAGGAGATGAAATTTTGAGGATTAGTTTCACCCTTTAAATCTGCGCCATTGCCGATAAAAAAAATAGGAGTCTTTTATTTCTGGCTATTCTACAAATATGCCAAATTTCGTCGAAATCCGAGACACACACTTTGCAGATGTTCCTTGTAAGAGTTTAATTTGAATAAACATATAATTTTGTAACTAAACACTTTGTGTTATTTTAAACGAAATCAGCTTTTGTGTCAGTTTCAGTGGGAAGCCACATTGCCATCTCATTTTCTCGCCGACCTATTATGCCATATTTTTATAAATAACATCCTAATTAATAAACATTACGTAAATTTGAGTCTATAATCAATTAAACACTGTGACAAATGTAATCACTTAGTTCTAACTTTGAAATATTGATTATGGCCAAAGTATTATTGTACAAAATGTGAATGGAGGGCCATAATACCACATTCTCCTCTAATAATTTTTATTATATTCACAAACAAAATACTCGTGAGGTTGAATCTATCGTATTAGTCCAACTGGGAACTCGTAATATAACATAATAATTTTTGAGAAATTGCTGAGAAGTGTGACTTTTTAGTAAGAATTTTTTGGATGTGATCTATTTACTTCTTTTTAATAATAATTTAATAAAAATAATTCCTCGTTATTTATAGGTAATTTTTACACTTGTCTGTTTGAGTCTTTGCCAGATCGATTTCTTTTCAAAGATATGGTTTTTCACTGCGACATTTTGTATATTTTTTTATATTATTTTATTTGTTTACACTGAAGAGGGTCCAAGAAATAGGACCGAAACGTATATAATAATTTCAATAAACACTTTGGAATTATGCTTGTCCATCGGCGTTATTATTATTATTATTATTATTTGCGCTTTTTCACCGGCGTTAGTTCTTACTGGCTTAATTTGTAGTTTATTTTGAATAGTAATTTTTTTTTATATTCGCGAAGAAGAATCGAGTTACAGAAGATTAACACACGTAAATTAGAAGCGCCTGTTACATCCGTGAGATCAAATCTATTATATCAGTCCAATCGAGGACTCATAATCACCATATTTCCTATTGGCAAAAAAAAAAAAAAAGAAGAAAAATATCGCCGTTCTCATTACACGAGAGATATCCCGCTACGTTCGCTACGATGAGAGATCGTAATCTCCACGCTTTGTCTCTTCCGTCTTTTTCCTCCGTGCGCACAGCGGACACTTTCACAATCGCTTGACCGCTCGTCCGTTTCGCTCGTTTCGCTCGTTTTGCGCCCTAATGAACGGTTCATTAACCGCGTACAGCGCGATCTTAAATTGTGAGCATAGCGTGCAGATCGGCGCGTAGCCGCGGAGATTAACTCTCCGCTCGGCCGAGAGACGCGCCGCTTTTGCCGAATCGGCGCGAAGCGAATGAGAGACCGACGATTGTTCGGCGGTGCAATAAATACGTTTTTGCAATCGCTTAATATTATCTCGTTTGCGGCCTCGATCCCGATACGCCTTTCACGATTTCCTTCGCGGTGTGATGTAAAGCAAGAGGAACGAGAGAGGAGGAGGAGAGGGCCGAGAGATGTGCGGAGATGGAAGATCGTGCTTGATTATTCTTCCGGAAGAGACGCGCAATTGACGATTCGACGCGCTTGTCTCGACATTCATTGTGACTTCTAAAGATTCACTTAAGAGCGGCTCACGCTCGGCTTGATTAATACAAGTCCTCGATCGTAATAAAGCCGCTTATTAACTGCGCACTCGGCTCGAGGAGTTGCGTAATTATTTTCGAGTGATGAAATAGCGAGACGATATTAATAGTGAGCTACTAATGTCGTAGAGTAATCTTGATCTCCGCTTTGTATATACACGATTCTTGTGCGATATTCTTTATTTATGAATACAAATATGATCTATTGAGCTGTCCGCATCGTGACTGCCTTTACGCGGAACACGTGTAACTTTGCGATTGATCACTCTCACTTCCGTGAGAGTGATCAATCGCTCCTTCCAGCTTACAGAAGCGTGTGATTAATCAGTTCACTGGTAATGACTCATATGTGAGGAAAAATGGTGCCACAATTGGTAATGACTCATATATGAGCATTATGAGCACATCAACCCATGTTATTTTTTGGCGTCGCTGACTATAAATCCGGAGTCAAATATAAGAAATTCCCAATAACGGATCCAATATGGCGCGGTGGATGTATCAGGTGTGCAAATTAATTCGGTGCCTTTCTTCATGAAATTCAAAGTTTACTTACGAAGAGTCAAGTACAAGTTTAATGTTCGAAATGATTTCCATTATTTTTTGTGACTTAACGATTTTGATTCAATAAAGTCAGCGATGATTTTTCGTACCTCATCAGCTGTTTTAATCCTTTTAGGCATAGTGATAAGTATATGTACTTACCACCTATTTATTCTCATATTTTCATGAAATATTTCATATTTGAGGGATTCTTGTCAGGTTTTTTGTGATTTTTAGCTTCTTATATGATATGGGAACATACATGAAAGGTTGAAAAGTGTTTTGCATAAGTTGTCCATTTATTATAAATAAACAAAGTGTAAAAATACACATTTTTACAGAAAAAAATCATTTTCCACGAGCTATGAATGAATTTTTTGCTCAAAATAAAAATTTGGAGGTTTTTTGGATCGCTGATTATGAATCTGAGGTCCAAACAAAATTAATTTTCCAAAATGGCAGATCATAGAATTTTTATTAAATTAGTTAAAATTGTACTCTGGTTAGTTTTCGAGGTCGCTGATTACGAATCTGAGATCTACATTCTAAAATTCATTTTCCAAGATGGCGGATTCCAGATGGCGGATCATAGAATATACATATTAGCTAAAATTGTACTCTGGTTAGTTTTTGAGCTCGCTGATTACGAATCTGAGGTCCGATTCTAAAATTTAGTTTCCAAGATGGCGGATCATAAAATTTGTATATGATTAGCTGAAATTGTACTTTGGTTAGCTTTTAAGGTTACTGATTACGAATCACCGAAATTATCACGATTTTTCATATTTGTGGCCGCTATCTTGAATTTTGAAAATCTGATAACGGAAATGTAAAATCTCAACCGCATTTTTATGAAGGGTCCAGCCCTTATTTTTCAGTAGAAATTTTGTTTGTATATTATGTTTGTATATATATATATATCAAAAAATACAAAAATATTCAAAATTGAGTTGAGAAAAAATTTGATCCACAATGAACGATTCAATAGATATTACATCAGTCTTGAGTGCATACTCAAAATGAAACAACAAAGTTTGAATGTTTCAAACCAATTCGTTATCAGCAAAACGAAAAAGCGTACCAAATTTGACACGCATCTACAGGATATCCCATTTTAAATGCCCTAGGCAGATATCTCGAAAAATATGGAAGATATGGAAAAATGTTTCAGACAAAAGTTATATGGTTTCAAGAGGGACATAAAAAAACTATATCATTTTATTTACAAGTTGGTGCCACTTTCGAGATATTAACTGATCATTACTTTTCTTAAATAGAAACCCCAATTTTTTATTATATCATCTTTTTCTACCAATTAATTTAAACAACTTTTGTCTGAAATATTTTTTATTTACTTAATATTTTTTTAGATATTTAAGGAAGACTTTGTAACTTTTTCAATATTTAACTTACGATATCTCACTAACTACTTATCAGAAGAAAAAATAATACTAGGCCTTTTTATTCTATTTTATCTCAAGAATATATTGTTACAATAGTGCTCTGACTTTTGTTAACTTATCGATTTTTGAAAATTTCAAAATCATCAAATTCGAAATATAATTTCAAATTCGAAATATTTGCCTGGGGCATTTAAAATGGGATACCCTGTATAATGGAATATCAAAATTAGTCACTCAAAGCTGCCAAATTTTAAATTTGGAAATTTCGAACATAGATTTACCACTAATGACTCAAAAAAAGTACCCTTACAGACAAGCCTCCATGTGAAATACGAAATTCGTTCTCACAGAAGTTTTGGCACAAAACGTTGATTTCGGGTCCACCAGTTAGCTAGTTAAAGTGTGTCAAGCGCTCTGAAAAAACGTTTGCACGATATTCCGCGTTTCCGCCGGCTTTCAAGCTAAACTTAAATCTCGCGCGCGCGCACTTTCATCAATTTCTGAAAGCTATCGCGAGAGGATCTCCGCCGTCCGCTTTAACGCGAAGCTTTCCTCGATGTCTGTAGTTTGTCAGGCCGAGTCGCTTTACAAAAAGAAAAAGTCCGTAAATTTTCCAACTGGCAGCAAAAGCTGCGGTCGTAAATCACGAAACGACAGGTCCGAAACGAGCGATCCGCGTAAAACGCGATCAATTACGCCCGCGAACCGTTCCCTCCCCCCCCCTTCCGTCTCACTCACGCACTCTCTCTCTCTCTCTCTCTCTCTCTCTCTCTCTCTCTCTCTCTCTCACTCACTCACTCGCTATCTCTCCGTCCCTCCGTCTGCCGCGCACGACGTAACGCAGAGCCGTCAGTTAGAGCAAAAAAACGCGGACCGGATTAGTCAACCGTAATTAGCGTCACGAGTTTTGCACGCCGACGGGCACGCTGTCAAAACGTCGGCCCGGGGGAAGCCCGGCCGCGCGATCGCTAACAACTCGTTGCATTGCGTTGCGCGCTCCTCCGCTTTCGCAACAAAATGTAAATCGGAGTAAAAATTCTGCCGCGTCACCCCGCGGGCAAGTTTCTCTGTTCTGTCGGCTTAACCCTCGAGCTCCCGTGACTTTCGGTGTGTAAACAAGCGAACGCGCCCGGTCGTTCTATTGTGAACGCGCGCACGTTCGTTTTGCTCGTTCGCTGCTCGCTCGCGTCCGGTCGAAATAGATACCCACTTTCATTAGATAAACGTGTTACCGGGCGTTCACGCACGCCGCTAGAGTGACGCGAATCCAGATGCAAAACGATCCCGACGTTGCCTGCCAAACAGGTGTGTATATGTATATACGCGCTGTGTATATATGTGTGTGTGTGTGTGTGTGTGCGTGTGCGTGTGTGTTCGTTACTAATATTTGGAATCCAGTTCTCTCGAGCATTAGATACCGGTAACATCAGTCTCGAGTGGGATTGCTGAGGATAAAAGAAACAGTGAAAAATTCCATTTCGCGGAGCTCCGGCGCCGGAATTCTCACCGACACACACGCACGTGCGACAAGTTTTCGCTGATTCGGTTTTCGGTGGATCTGCTGCCAAAGGTGAAGTACGTTAAATTGCGTCTCCCCCTGCCCCCCTGCGTCGAGTCGAGCGTCTTGTTGTGAGCGTTATTGTATCACTTTCGACTTTCGGCCGGAATGAAAGCGCGGACGTTTATCCGGCGTAAAAATGTTATCCGTTATGCCGTTCTCTTTAAGCCGATAAAAGCGCGCAATTGCCGTAAATAACGCGGCCGAGTAAATCTTCCGGATGTGTCGCACCTGAAATCTGGTGGTGTGCCGACATGAAGCTGAAAAAAGAAAAAAAGAGAAACGTGGTACCGCGCTCCGTTAACCGCATTAATTCAGCGGCCGTGTCGCGCGCGCTCGTTAATTCGCCGATTGCATTGCAATTGGGCGTGCGAGCGCGGCCGGCGCTACGTTTTGACGGGACGAGAATTGACTGTCAAAAGTCGCCGAGCCGCAAGATTAAGCGACGACAGATCCACAGTTTGTCACCCGAAGACGTGCGCGGCCAATCGAGGCCGCGGACGTATATACGTTTTTTAAAACTCGCGAAAGTGCCGTTGTCTCGTTTTTTGCGAGAAGGAGAGAGACTGGATGGAAAGATTTCGGTTTACTGTGTGCGAAGCGTTGCGCAAGAAAATAGATTCAGAAACTTGCAAAATATATTTAGATGAATAATAGCTTTAAGATATAGATGCAAAAAAGTTTGTTTGAACGAATAATAATGAAAAGATGGCTCTGAATAGTGAGGAATATTATCCCGAGTGAATAATAATGAATACATTTTTGTGAAATATACAGGCGAATCGAATAGCAAGATTTCTACATATCTAGATTATATACAGAGTGCCCGGGATCTTTTGGAAAAGAAAAATGAATGTGAAGATTAATCAGATCAAACTGAGAAGAAAAGTCAAGTATCATTTTGCAAAATTGGCAATAGTTATTAAGTTATCTATTAAAAGAGCCTTTAAATGTGATCATTTTCAATCATTTATAACTCAATAACTATTGCGATTTTTGCAAAATGGTACATGACTTTTCTTTTCAGTTTGATTCGATTAATCTTTACAATTTTTCTTCTCCCAGAGATCCCAGACACCCTGTATATATATAAGTTATAAGTTATGAGTGATATTAGTTATTAAGTTATTGAGTTATTAATAATCGAAAATGATCACATAGAACATAGAATAACTTGAAAATTTATAAAGAAAAACTTATTTGCAAAATGGTAAAGAATTTTTTTGTTTAGAATGACCTAATCTACAACTATATGATGGCTATTGTGTCTAGCGGTTCAAGATTCAGGGTTCAAAGTTCAATATACTCATATCTATCGCTAGACAAAACAGCTGTCATATAATTGTAGGTTGTTCTGAACAAGAAAGTCTCTTATCATTTTGCAAATAAACACGCAAATTTTCAAGTTATCAATTAAAAGAGTCTCTGGATGTGGTCATTTTCAATCATTAATAATTTAATAACTATTGCAATTTTTGCAAAATGGTACTTGACTTTTCTTCTCAGTTTGATCTGATTAACCTCTATAATGTCGTGTAAGACACTTGATATGTTTTGCGAGCCAAACATAAGAAACACGAGCAAAACTCGTGGTTCAATTTTTATGTGTTTTGATCAATGCTTAGCGGCTGCGATTTGCGTTTTGTAACTTGCAATTTATGTAGACTGGGCATTACAGATGCAACTTTACCACCGATTTTGGCACGTACTGTTGCAACTTAAATCACAATGCAAGGGGTTAATCTTCACAATTTTTCGTTTCCAAATTTAGGAACACCCTGTATAAGATCTAGGACACCTTGTATAAGATAATATATAAGATGTTTAAAAAAAGGCTTTAGGACATTAAGGATAGATAGTATTCACACGAGGGGAAAAGGAGAGAAAAAGTCCTAGTAAAAATTAACTTTGCCCGAATTATGAATAATTATTTATTTGAATTAAAGCAAGCGACCTACTCGCTTCTGGTGCTTTTGTATTCTCTGATGTTCTTGTTTATGTTATTTATCGGTGAGGAGAGTACGCTCTAAAGGAATCCCTAAAAAGAATCTTCGCTCTTGCTCGAGATGTAAACAAACATCTATTTTCTTTCCATTTATACGCTCGCTTCACCAGGCAATCGCAAAGTTTCCGCAGTACGGTAAGAATAATATCATATTACTTTTCTCCACTTCGTGAGAGCCATCTACTCTTAAAATCCCGGATCCTTTTTAAAGACCCTGCGTAATATTCTCCGATTTCACCCAAGCTGATTGCACTGAGCAAAGTCTTGCGCAAAAAGGCGGGCTGTTACCTTATAATATACCGCTCTCATCATTATCGCGCGTCACTTATCGCGAATCTTTTCGCTCCGACAATCCTGCCCCAGGAGTATCGGGGGCAAAATCAGTTTCCCTCCGCGAAAAGACCCGCTCGGTCCTCCTTAAGGCAAGCGCTTCCGACTCTGCCGGCCTGAGAGCCCGCTCCGATCGAATCCACTAATTGGCCCACGCGCGGATGATAAAGGACCCTTTCTTCCCGCTGCGCGAGAGGAAATTTACAGCTGCCGGCGGACACGGGCGGCCACTCGTAAACAGTGAAAGCGGCGCGGCGCAATTTAAGAACGGTCAGAGCTCGGCGGGGTTAATTGGTCCTCTGCCTTTGGACAAACGTGTAGCCGCGCGCATTACGCGGCACGCATTCTCCCCGCGAGCATTACCTTTTGCCCTCCCCCGGCCACCTCCTCCGCTCCCCTCATCGCTCATCGCCTCGGGTTATTCCCGGGAAGGTTTGAATCGGCGGCGGCGGTCAAAGTGTAACTTCCAGCGCGCGCGCTCGCCGGCATTCCCACGCGATCGCGCGTCGTATGGGAGCGATTATCCACCCACGGATCGCGCGGATCCTCGCGGGTCGCGAGGCCGAGGAGGAGTTATCAATCAAGCGCCGCGTGCGCGCGCGCGCGCGGCTCGGGACGACTCGCATCGGCGCCTTTTTCATGCAATGAGCGCGGGGGCCCGCAAATCCTTCAACGTCTCGGCGAGTGGCGCGTCCTTGACGCTCACTTTGCGCAACGCTCAACGGGGGACCACCTAAAAAAACGACCGCGTGTCCTAAGACGAGCTCGTGCGGTTTTCACGTATTATTTAAAATAGACCGCTATTAATAATGAGAGAGCCCGAGAGAGCTCAGACGACGGTCGTTGTGCTTCCGTCTTTCCCTCCCTCCCTCCCTCTATCCCTCTCTCCCTCTCTCTCTCTCTCTCTCTCTCTCTCTCTCTCTCTCTCTCTCTCTCTCTCTCTTTCTATGCGTGCCTCTGGTCACGCGACGCGGATGCCGTCGACGTCCGACGTGTTCGCGTCGAATTTCGTCAGCACACCACTGTGACATGTCGCGTTCACACGCTGTCCAGCTTCTCGGTCGCCGACTGAGACACGTATTTTTCTTCACGGACGTTTACGAGGTGCTCGCCTTGTGAGTGACGGTAAAATTGCGGAATTCTTCGGAGTGGCGGCCGAAGACACGCTCTCGGCGCGTCGGACGTGGAAAATCGGGAGGGACGAGCGCGTTTATTAGGAACGGAAGTGCAGTGTGGAGCCGAGAGATTCGGAGACTGATCTGCGCTTCCGCGAGACGGCGGGAGACTTTGGCTGCGTCCCGAAATAGTACTGATAGTACTGACAGCAGCGTATTAGTCGTTCCAAAATTGTCAGTAAATGGTCAGCAGTGCGGAAAACGAAACGCAGCTGCGCAGTATCGCGCAGTGATCAGCGCAGAGTAATATAACCTATTCGGATATAAAGGTTGAAAGTGAATTTAGAATAATGGCCAACTTAATAGCAATTTTACTTGAGGCACAAAGTATCGCAGATTTGATTGAAAATAATCTGCAAAATTTATCATTTCGGAGGATGGAAAAAGATTTCGTGTCTTTCATAAGTTCTATTATCACTTCCGTCAATTATCGTGCGTCATATGCATTACTCAACTTGCACCACCTCGAAATAATTTGTGGAATTAGTTGAAAGCCAGTTAATTCCCTATTTTCGTGGAAAAGACACAAAGTTTTACCATCTTAACAGCATATTGAAAAATATAATCCTGTTCCGAAATCGGTTTCGGAAACTTTGGTTTTAGTCGTAAGGTAGGCCTTAAATTATCTTAAATTAAAATACCTTAGATACGTTCTGTAATTGATCAGCTGATCACGCGATTAGCTTCGCGAAATTATTTCTGTTGGTACAACGAATGGGACACGCTCGTTCACATGGCTACGTACTAGGGATGGGCGATTTTCATCGATTAATCGAAAGAAGCGATATTTTGTTTTTGGATGTTTTCAGATGATTTTTTTCTCAACGTAGGCAACACATATTTATTTTTTTTAAATAGAAGATTTTTGTAATATCGTCTTCCAGATACGGTAAATGAAATTTATGAACGTTAAGTCCGGACCTATAATGGGTATAGTAAGCTTTAAGTCTTAAGAAATTGGCCAACCACAGTCAATTATTCTTGTAAAAGTAGGTTGGGATTGGTTAATTTCTTCAGGTTTAAAGTTTACTACATCTATTATGCAGTCATAGACAATAGGGTTGTCCGGTTTTTATTGATAAGTTTCGGAATGTTGCCGAATAGTTCAATAAGAGCATTTATCTTCCCAAAATTAGTTCTCTTATCATATGGAAAATACATCAAATGATATCGAGTTAAAGGTCTTGCACACTGACGCGATTAGCAACGAACTATAAGCGACTCTCTCTCTCTCTCTCTCTCTCTTTCTCTAATGAGAGTTCTATTTAACAAAGAAACGAAAGCTCTTTCTTCTTAAAACAGAACTCTTATTAAATATCCTCATAGCGCGTTGCTAGTCGCATCCAATGTGTAAGATCCTTTAGGAAGATTTCTAGTAATACTGAGAATATTGCAGGTGTCGTTCTATCCTTGTTTAACATTCAGTGAAAAATAAGGATTGAATAATGTCGGCTACATCTCTTGTGAATTTAAGAACGCATCCAATATAAGCAAAGAAAGCATCCGAGTGATATTTCCGAACGCACTCTTAGCAGTGTTTAATCTGGTGCTAACCAATTTAAATGTTTACTTTGCAAATTTAATCGATTAATTGGTAAATCGATCGTTTTTAGAAAATAACTGATGTCATTTCAATTTTTTTTTTATTAACCGATATTTTGAACGTCAATGTATTTTCGAACATCGCCCATCCCTACTACGTATTATTTCTATTTGCAAACTTGGTTTTAGCTACTAATTTTGTAATAGGACAGATAAATTTTATTACTTATTACTTGATTACTGGATTTCCCGATTGTAACGTCGATCGCACAGATTAGCTGAATGATGAATTACGGAACGTATCTAAATAGTTTAAGGTCTACCAACTTCGTGACTAAAACCAAGTTTCCGAAACTGATTTCGGGACGCAAGATATATTTAAACCACAGACTCCTATAGTATAACTAGACTGCTAACTCCCTGTAGCACAAAATTGACCCTAAAAAGTATATATTAAATAAGAGAATCAAGCATCTGTGCGCATGCGTGAAATTGGTAGTCACAAGGAGAGGGGCTATATAAGCAATATGACCGATGCAAATAGAAGAAATGTGTCTTGATTCAACCAATCAGACGTGTCGTGTGAGTGTCGGACTACCAGGACGGTACTTTTCGGGGTCATGTATTGAGTCCGAATTAGCAGTCTAGTTATACTATAGAAGTCTGTGATTTGAACGCGAAAGCAGTACTGTCAGTACTGTCAGCACATTTCGGAACGCAGCCTTTGAAGCTTGTCGAGTCAATCGACAAGGCGGGAGACACGGATATCGCATGCACGAACAGCGAGCGGGGTTTCCCGTTTTTGTCGAATCGAGCTCTCGCAGGCGGGTATGAGGTCACCGCGGGGGCAAGTTCGCGCGCGCGCGGGGCAGGAGGGGGAGATGTCGAGGAAGTGGAAGTTGGCTGCACTGTGGGAGATTGATGGGGTTTATTGCGATCCCGCGGAGCTTACTGCTTTCATCCATTAGCCGCATTACAAGCACTCACCTGCAACCTCATGGCTCTTATGGATAAACGTAGCGGACAAGAGACAAACGACCGGCCGCGCCGCGGTTGGAGCCGTGGAATCTACGCGACTCCCCTGGAGGGCTGTCGCGAATTCATGATCGGTCAACAGCCGCTGCAAACTCGACTCTTGGTGAAATTGTACTTGCCGCGAAAGAGAGAGAGAGAGAGAGAGAGAGAGAGAGAGAGAGAGAACACGCGCGACAAAGGCGTGACGTCTCGCCCGTGCGGAAGCGGACATTGATATGCATTCTGATAAACAATCGTTCCTCCCATCGTCGGTCCTTTCATTCCCCCGCGATAAACGTTGCCCTAATTAAATCTAATGAACACAGAGCGAGCAGAGCCGATAAGTCGAACGATTCGCTCGTGCCGATTCGGCACGTCCTTCCGAAGTAGCTTCCGGGAATCCCGTCCTGCTGTATTTAGCTGCTCGAACATGATACAGTCAGTCAGCGCGGCCCGTTTTCGCGACGGAGCGAGAATTCAGGCGAAAGCGGCCGGGCGAAAGATCGCAGGAAGGCACGATCGACTCGGCACGCTCCACTTCTAAGTCGAGTTGCTTATGCAATATGTATCGACACGGTACTTTCTATGTGCGTGAAGGCTTCGCAGCTGGGTATGCTACTGGCAAATGTGAAAAGGGCGTGTCTGCTTCTGACGGCGATCCACGTTTTGCTCGTCGATAAGAACGCCGATGCGGAGACCTTCACTTTGGGATACATCACCGGCTCCAAGCGACGTCCAGACGACTTCGAGTACCAGCGGCCGGGCTTCCGCATCTCCGGGGCTATGACTCTCGCCGTGGAGGAGGCGAGTAATCGCACCGTAATATATTCGCGCCGGTCGACACACACCGCAATTAGCGTTCGCGCGCGCGCGCACGGAAGCGGATAATTAAATTTAACAATTCCAATCACGCGGAAATACGACTATCCGCGCGGGGTATCGATTGCACGAAATTGGAGCGGCTTGCGGTTGATACTTGCGGAAGAACGTGTCCGGTTTGTCGCTCGCGGAAGCTGCGCAAAATGATCGCGCGATTAGCGGGGCTGTTTAACCCCTCGGCTGGTTCATAACGGAAATATCCGCAGGGAAAGGAGTCAGAGAAGTGGCTCGAACTGATGACGAAAATACCCACGCATTAAAAAAGAATACTTATAAATATTATTACTTATATATAATACTTATATAATACTTATATATATTATAATATAATACTTATATATAATACTTATATATATTATAAGTATTTATAATAAATAAAATTTATTATAATTATAACGTAGCAATTGGAACAAGACAACTATTAAGCCTGTGCATAACTTCCTGGGGTTTCTTCGGCTTAGTTTGTCTATATGAAAGAAACAATACACACTTGTTTGGTCAAAATATTTTCCCTCGCTTGCTACAACTTTGGACCATCTTTCAGGCAACAAATGGATTCCTCGATTGAAGAATGACGCATCTTTCGATGAGATGAATTCGTCAACTCATTTTCATATTTCAATCTCATTTCTAAATCGCACGTCGGAGAGATGGTTCTGCATTGACTGAAATAGGTAAAAATCTGAAGGGAAGATCTGAACTATATTGGGTGTGGTAGAACTTCTCACTCAAGTTCCAGTAAAGTGTCAGTCACGGAAGTAACATGTGGTCGAGCGTTGTCGCGGAGCAAGATGACTTTTCGATTTCCTTTCCCTGTCCACGGCCTTCCTTTCTGAATTTCTTCATTTAACTAGAACAATTGGCGACTGTAGCGCTCTGCAGTAATCGTTTCACCAGGTTTGAGCAGTTCATAATAGAGCACGTCCTTCTGGTCCCATCAAATGTAGAGGAGAATCTTATGTGTGTAAACATTGCGCTTCGGTGTTGAAGTAGAAAGTTACCCTGAATCTAACCACTCTTTTTTACGTTCAAGGTTATCATAATAAATCCATTTCTCATCTCCAGTTACTATTTTCCATGAAAAAAACTCTTATTTTTGTTGAGCAAGCAATGAGATGCAGGTATTAAGCCGGTTGCCAATAGCTTGTTCCGATAGTTAATGTGGAATCCACTTCTCTTCCTTCTAGATCTTTCCTAATGCATGTAAGCGTCGAAGTATTGTTGTGTGATTAATGGCAAGCTGTTTCGCAATGTCTACGGACGATTGAACTGCATCTTCAGCGAGTGGAACTTCCAAATCCTCGTATTTTATCTTCTGAGGTTATCCAGAGCGAGGTTTGTCATTAACATCGAAATTTCCATTTCGAAACCTTTGGAACCAGGATTGGCACGTACTTTCAGATATAATATGTTCACCATAGGTCTCGCAAATAATTCTGGTTGTTTCAACGGCACTTTTTTCACGATAAAAATAATACAGCATGCAGGATCGAATATCGATCACCTTTTCGATTTCTATTTACAATTGAACTAAAAATGTGTTTAAATAAACAAATACGAACTGTTATATGTAAGCTCGAATCCAGGTTAACCAACAGCATTAATATAAAACATAACCTAGTTGAAAAGTTTGCGCATTCAGATTACAGCGCCATTCAAACATATCCCCCAGGAACTTATGCACAGACCTAATATATTTTTATATTTTCGAGGTTGTGGAACTCAAATTCGAAGTCAAGAGTAAACGAAACGATTTCTTGAATTTTCGCTCCGTCATATTTTAAATGCGCCGTTTTGAACTTCGCAATTTCCAATTTCCTCGGATTTGAATTCAGCAGTCTCGGAAATATAAAAATAATATAGTGTCCTTGCTCCGTTGTATCAGTTTCTTTTTTTCCTTTTAGAATGCGCGGATATTTTCGTCATCAACAGTTTGGACCACTTTTTTCTTTCCGCGGATATTCTCGTCATTAACAGTTAAGGGGTTGTTAATGAGCGCCGCGTAAACACGCCGTGATCCTGCGGAAGCGTTCGTGCGATAAGACGCGAGATCGCGAGGAAACTCGTGACTCGAGGCAAATTAGGCGCGGTCGAGAATCTCATACCGATTTTGCGCGGAAAATTGTCAGACGAATCGAGAACGACGCGCGTAGCTGGGAAGCCGCCGAGTCAGCGGCTGAAACTCACGTTCTCGCGTCCCCTTCAGATGTTTTCCTTAGAGCTGAAACTCCACTTGCAATGCAGGTAAACGCCGGCGAGCTTGGTAGACGCGGCCACAAGCTCGATTTTGTGGTGGCGGAAACTTACGGCGAGGAGGAGACCAGCATTTTGAACACGGCGGTTCTCTGGAAAAGAAACATCAGCGCTTATATCGGGCCGCAGGAGACGTGCATTCACGAGGGCAGAATGGCGGCCGCATTCAACATCCCGATGATATCCTATGTAAACGATCTCTCTTACGTCACTCCAATTCTCGCTCTCAGAACGAAGATCTCTTCGCGATCGGGATTTCTTCCGCTTTTCTGTCGCATGTGCGCATTGTGTAACGCTTTATCAGCTGATTGCGAGAATTTTAGAGGAGCACTTTGAGTTCTCGCAATGTTCTGTCTCTCTCATCTGATCTGAGTGGAATTTCGACGGAATAGTGAAGGAAAATCGATTGGAAGAGAGGGATGATAAGAGACGAGAAGGAAGCAGCGCGCAAGAATGAGGAATGTATTTCACTAACGATCTCACCTTTTTGTCCCTTTTAGTTTTGCACGCATCGCGAGACGTCGAACAAAAAGAAATACCCGACATTCGCGAGAACACGGCCGCCCGACACACAAATCTCAAAATCCGTCGTCTCGGTGCTGAAGGCGTTTAATTGGACCAAAGTGAGTATAATTGTGCGCTTTGACGGGAACGAGCTTTCTTTTATGTTGCTAATAATGAAATCAAATCTCGAGCAGCGTCTGATTTATTTATTCAGACTTATACTAATTTATAGTCCTATATATGGTAATCATTTTAGATTTGCCATTTTGAATTTTTGAAATCTGACTTTAGATTTATAATCAGCGACCCGGAGAACACAGAAATGCAGGATTTCACAGAAATCCGTCAGATAGAAACGATATGTCACACAAGGGATTAAGAACTGTTCAACCTACTCTTGTCGTTTCGATGTTTCGTGCAGGTGACTTTCATGTACATGAACTCGACCGTGTACGAATTCAACCGAATGTCAACGGTCGCGACGACGATCTTAGCGTCCTTCGAAGCGGCTGGCATTAGTCTGAATCATCTACGTTGCTGGGAAGAGCCGTATTATGCGACGCACATGGAGAATCCATTCCATAAGCATGTTAAGGAAACGTACGCGGACACGCGGAGTAAGTAGTAACGAAGATAGATCTCTTAAGATCTTAATCATCGTCCGCGCGTTTATCGCATTGCGTTCAATTAAAGAGAAAGAAAAGAAGGAGCTCGCTGTTTTTCATCTTCGCGAAGCCGGCTCTCTCGGCGTTAATCATTTCGCGCGGGCTTTCGCTCCGTCCGATTGGAAAGTTCCCGTCGCGCCGGCCGTCGCACCTTTTATCCAATCGCACTTGCAGACGCGATCCAAAATAGACTACCCGCATTTCGGCTCGTCGAGCGTGCGCTCGACCGCGACACGACGCGCCACGAAACGAAGCCTGCATCGCCGGAATGACCCGCATGTTACCGCGGCTACGACAAGTCGTCCCGGCTTGCGAATAAAACTCACAGCTCGCTATTCGCCTCATTAGTCACGCGCTCGCGCGCGCCTATTTGGATACATTAAAAGCCGCTTCTAAAAATAAGCGCGGCTCTCCTTCTCCGAGCGGCCGGTTTTTAGCAATTCCCCATTCGATAAAGCGGCCGCGATCCGGGAAGAACTTCCAAATACGGCGCGACATTTCCTTAATGAAAGCGACGCACGTGTGTGGTGTTTCAGTTTACGTAATACTCGGCCAACATTATGAGCACATGGGTCTGTTGATGGCTCTGGACGAAAAGAATCTTTTGGAAAAAGGTATAAATACTGCCTGTACGATAATCAGGTACATATATTAGGGAGTAGCCGTCATTAGATGTAGTTTTAATGTTAACCACTCTCGCACTCTCGCAATGCAGAGTTCTCCCGTACATACTTGGTAGTTCGCGACAACAGCCTTCGCTTCGATTCGAGCGAGAGTGAAACGACCGTGAGAAAAAAGCTGCTCGGTTTATCAATTTACATTTGGTCGCGCTTGCCCGACTAATCGTTATTCTTTCATTACGTAAGAACGTGAACCTTTAAGTGAAGGTCCGTTATTACACTCCCCGTGGCGTAGCTTCGTAAATTTTTCGACCGCTCCTCCGCGCGCCGTTTTTGCCGCTCTCGGTAGAGAGCAGAGAGAGAAACACTCAGCAATTTGGTGCCGCAGGCGAATATTGGGTTGTCGGTGTCGACATCAAGCAATACGACGAGGAGCGACCTGACAAATATGTCCGTGGACACTGGCAGCGGAACACGAATCTATCGATGAAGGCGTACCGTAACTTTTTCAGTATTGTCGCATCAACTCCGATCGACATTATGAACTTTACGCGGCGGGTCAACGAGTACAGGCAGAAACCGCCGTTCAATTTTACAAACCCGTTGGAGAAAATGGGAGGAATAGTTCAGGTGACTACCAGAGATCACGGTACTGGGCGAAATTGTCTCCAAGCTCCCACCACTGCATTTGCAGACGCGGGATTATACGAGAAGTTGTAATGTTTCGACTCTACCCATTTTCATTGGGTTACTTGTCCCTTTAGTAGACGAATTATTTAACTTTATATCAATTTCGCTCAAGTATCTCGTTGGATATTTTCTTGTTTGCTATCGTTGGACTTTGTGAAATATCATATCGTAAATATACAGGACGGCTCATTTTAATTTATCCACTCAAATATCTTGAAAAATATAACATAGATACGGAAAAACGTTTTAGACAAAGGTTATTTGGTTTGAAGGGGGACATGAGACAGCGACATCATTTTGTTTACAGACGATGTCACTTTCGAGATATTCACTACATATAACAGTATATTTTTGAGAGCAAAAAGAATTAAAAAATCTAGTACTATTTTTTTCCGACAAATATTTATAGAGATATCATAAGTTAAATATCAAAAAAGTTACCACGTTCTTCAGAAATATCTCAAAAAAATGTTAGACAAATAAAAAAACGTTTCAGACAAAGTTGTTCAAGTGATCGATGTAAAAAGATGATATAATAAACAGTTGAGATTCCTATTTAAGAAAAGTGATCATTAGTGAATATCTCGAAGATGGCGTCATCTGTAAACAGAATAATGTCGCTGTCTTATGTCCCCCTTTAAAGCAGATATCTGAAACGTTTTTTCGTATCTTCGTCGTATATTTGTCGACATATTTGAGTGAATAAATTAAAATGAGCCACTCTATACAAGTCCCATTTTAAATAAGCTAGATAAAAATCTCGAAAAATATGAAAGAAATGTTTTTAGACAAAAGTTGTATGGTTTCAAGAGGGACATAAAAAAACTATATCATTTTGTTTACAGATGGCGTCACTTTCGACATATTCGCTGATCATTACTTTTCTTAAATGGAAATTCCAACTTATTATTATACCATCTTCTTCTACCAATTAATCTTAACAACTTTTGTTTGAAACATGTTTTTATTTGCTTAGTATTTTTTGAGATATTTAAGGAAAACTTGGTAACTTTTTCAACATTAAATTTATGATATCTCGCTATTTGTGCAAAGAAAAAAATAGTACTAGACTTTTTTATTCTATTTAGTTTCAAGAATATATTGCTATAATAGTGCCCTAACAGTTGTTAACTTGTCGATCTTTGGAACATTTTTCTCGAAATTATCTTCAAAAATATTAGACAAATATAAGAATGTTTCAGACAAAAGTTGTTCAAATTGATTGATATAAAAATATGATATGATAAAAACAGATTCCCATTTAAGAAAAGTCAGATCATTAGTGAATATCTCGAAGGTAACGCCAACAAAATAATGTCGTTGCCTTATGTCGCCTTTCAAAACAAACATCTTTTGTTTGAAACATTTTTCCGTATCTTTTATATTCGTCGAGATATTTAAGTAAATAAATTAAAATGAGCCACTCTGTACAGTGGACATGAAATTTCACCCTCATACCATCATATCGTATATCACAGCACATCATTCCACATCGTAACATTGTCATTATCTCATTAACAAGTTTATTAATTATTACATTATTGAATTTGAAGACGGGGATCTTATAATGTTATTTGTTTCCATCAAGTCGCTTGTTGTTTTGGTGGACAGATTATTTAATTTTATCAATTCTCCAATTTCATTTACCTCGCTAGATATCCTATCGCGTGGACCTTGTAAAATATCATATTGCCAATATTTAAAATGCGCATGAAATTTCACTCTCGTGTCATCATATATCGTATATCACATCACAACGCTCCACATCATAACACATTATCATTATCCTATTAATAAATACAACGTATCATATGCGCACAGAGTACATCGGCCGTACATCGGCAGAATAACGTTACATCGCGAGAAACGTAATTTTTCCGCGGTAATATTTCCCAACAGCGGCTCGTTAAGAGCGACGGGAGAGAGCGCGGGCCGTATTGAAACATTGTGCTGCTAATCGCACGGTCACGAAGCGCAGTTAAATTAAAGCCCACGCGTTACCTCGATTACGTACGGCCCCGCGTATTACCATATTACGGAATGCATTATAAATAACAACCTGCTCCATGTGCACACACACACACACACATGCACACGTCTCCGAAATTATCACACTTGCTCGCCCTGTCATTATCGTCTTCGCTCGCGACGACTCGTCAATCCACGCAATCCGGCCGGCGATATCTCCCAGGCGAATCGCCGCGGCCCGACATCGCCGCCCTCTTCACCCCCTATCTCGAGCATAATCGTTACTTTATGTTATAAGGCAGATTGTGCCGGAGACGGCGTACCTGTACGACGCGGTGCACCTTTACGCGAGATCGCTGCTGCACGCCCTGGACGAGAAGCGGGACCCACGGAACGGCCGGGAGATGGTGTCGGCGCTGCACGGGGTTCATTATCAGAGCGCGAGGGGGTACGTAGGCACGCGGTGCGGTGTACAGGAGGCCGAGGAGGAGCACGGCATAAAGGCGCGAGCGCGTCGCCGGGGCGCGAGCGCGTCGTAACGTTTTACGGCATGCAAATCAGATTCCCTTACGAGGCGGAACGTCAGCCGGCAATTTCTCGCTGAAAAGGCCCGACCGACGAGCAGCGGGCGTGCGCGTGCCCCTCGGTGTGTTTTCGGCGAAGTAATTACCGTTTGCATACCGTAACGAGGCCGTCGAAGTCGGAAGCTAAGCGATTTATCATCCGCGATCGCCGCGCGCGAACATTTGCGGCGCGGTGATTAAGGCGGAATTATTGCGTCGTCTGAGACGCGACGAGCGGGCGCGCGCGCCGGCGGCGGTGAAAAAGGGATTCGTCCGGCAATTAAAACCGACCGTTTCGCGCTTTATGACGGCGAGACAGGAGGAGAGGGAGAGAAAGAGATAGACCCGAGCGGTCAGAGACAGCGAGAGACGTTTCAATCGCTTCGTCGGAGTTGAATCAGCCTCGTGTACACATTTCGTTACTAGCGTGAAGAGGGAGGGGGAATTATTCATGAAATTGGGTGTTCCGGTTCGCTCGTGCTTCATCCTGCGCGTTAGACTTCGATGGGGGATAGTTACGTGTGTCTGAGGAGACTTCCTTTGACGAAACCGATCATTTACTACGTGCGAGAAGAAATGGTGAGATCCCTTTCATTAGGTAAATCGGAAAGTTCCGTCCATCTAGCGGCAAGTATTGCTATAGCTATAGCTAGAAGCTGTCGTTGACCTTTAATGTCTAAACGAAGCTTAATGGTTTGTTCTGACATCTGTCAATAACATTCAGTACATAAAGGTATACGTTTGCGTCAATAACATTGTTTTTTATTACATCGAAAATGTTGAAATTTGAGCCAAATAAGCGTCATTTGCGCGAAGTGTTAATCTTTTGCTTCAATTGGAAGAAAACTGCAGTTGAAGCTCATCGAATGCTTGTAGAAGTTTATGGTAATAATGCTCCTTCCGATAAAACATGCAGAGAATGGTTTAGACGCTTAAAAGTGGTGATTTTGAGGACAAAGAGCGTTCTGGACGGCCGAGTATTCAGAAATGAAGAATTGCAGGCATTGATGGACGAAGACTCATGTCAAACGCGAAAGCAACTCGCAGAAGTATTAAATTGTGATCAATCTGTCATTTCCGATTTTGAAAGCCTTAGGAAAGGTTTACAAGGAAAGAAAATGGGTTCCATATGAACTGAAGTCAAGAGACATTGAAAGACGAAAAACCACCTGCGAAATTCTGTTTGCTAGGCAACAAAGAAAAGGGTTTTTACATCGTATCATCACTGGGGATGAAAAATGGATTTATTTTGACAACTCCAAACGTCGAAAAACTATTTGCGATCCCGGCCAACCCTCAACATCGACGCCAAAGCGGAATATCCACGAAAAGAAGGTAATGCTCTGTATTTGGTGGGATCAGAAGGGTGTGCTGTATCATGAGCTGTTGAAAAGTGGTCAAAGAGTCACAGGGGATCTCTACACAGAACAAATGACCCGTTTGAGCCGAGCATTGCACGAAAAACGACTAGAATATGAAACGAGACAGCATAAGGTGATTTCGCTTCATGACAACGCTCGGCCTCACGTCACAAAATCTGTCAAGAAAACGTTAGAAGCACTTCGTTGGGAAGTGTTACCCCATGCGGCTTATTCACCAGACTGTGCCCCTTCCGACTACCACTTGTTTCGGTCGATGAATTGAAGCATTCGTCAGCAAGTGCGTGTGCACTTGCTGACGAATGCTTCAATTCTTATGAAGACGTCGGAAAATAGGTCTCTGACTGGATAGCCTCCAAAGATGAGTCATTCTTTCGCCGCGGAATTCGCTTGCTGACCGAAAGATGGAAAAAAGTCATCGCTAACGATGGACAATATTTTGATCGATGTACTTTTTCATTTTGTTTTTTAAATAAAGCTATACGTTTTGCAAAAAACGGATGGAACTTTGCGATTGACCTAATATTTCCCGTGAAATGTAAGTCACCCTTAGTACAGCGCCTCGATTGAAGTTGGCCGCTAAACTCGGCCGATACCTCGTACGCACCTAACCTATGGGCGGTTCGACGTTGGGATTCGTAATAGCTGTCAATAACCGTAAACGTTGGTACGAATGGAAGAAAGGACGATCGGCTGTGAAGTAACTTACGGCGACCGACGACACTGCGGAAACACTTAACTTTTGTCATTTAACAGCAAACGAGTCGCGACACGAGTCGGGAAACAGCACTTGTGTACTCTTTTATTATCGATGAAATCATTCGCGCGGAAATTACATCGACCGAGAGACACATTGGGTGCTACTTGGAGGCAAAACGAGCTTGGTTTAGTCGCGGTTTAACAATAGTATATGAAGAAACTAACGAGACATTTGTAATCAGAGACACTTTTTTATGATTTAGGACAGGTTGTTCCAACTCCTTGATAAGTTAACTGATAATTAAATCATATAGCTGTCTTCGTTTAAATTGAAGGAAAAACAAAGATGAACATATGATTTAACTATCAGTTAATTTACTAAGAAGTTGGAACAGCCGACTTTAGTCTTGTAGTAAACCCAGCTTATGTTTAAACTACCTGTTGACGTAGTCTAAGCTTGATTTAATCTTTTAATTACTACAGGCGTATATACATGTCCTGATATGTCCATTGATATTATTAAGAATTGCCTTCATTCTTGTTTGATCTTATTTTATTTTGTTTGTGCATACATTTTTTTCGATAACGCTCTTCCTTTTTCACATCGAATTCGTCAGGAAACTTTTCTCCTTCATGGTTCTCCAATTAGCCTACTTATTTCGCCTTATCTTGTGTGATGTATCTAGTGAGAATAATTTTGCTGTCACAAATTAAAAAAAAGAGTCTCAAAATATAAACACGGACGCTTTAACCATCGATGTAGAATGGACTGCAGCGATGGGGTAGAATGAGATGACAATATGAGGATATCTTTTGTCTCTTTTTCAAGCAGGAATATAACATACCGTAAAAATAAAAAATCTGACGACACTGCATCATTATGACTAAGATTCTATTACGGTATGTAATACATTCCTGCTTGGAAAAAAGACGGGAGGTGCCTTCATATTAGGTTTGTTCGCGTTGCCTGCACTTTTGATACTTTTGTACCTAATACCTGTTGCACACCAGACGCGATGAACGATATCCAATGAGAGCTCCTTTTTTTAAGAGAGGCCAGTGTGCAACGGATATGAGGTATAAAAGTATCAAAAATGAAAGCAACAGACCTATCAGTCTGCATCTCACTCTACTCATCTTTCTACCTCCACCACTGCAATTAGCAGTCCATTCTACGTATCAATGGCTTTGACAAGTCCTTGGTGATTGCATTTTATTGGCTACAAAATATCTAGAGATAAACTTCAGACAATTAAATATAACAATCTTATTCTATTATGAATACCGCCCGAAGGCTTTCCTTAATCCGAATACAAATTTGAACTATTCCGGAAAAATGTCTCTGAATAATATAGCCTTAGTTCATCGTCAGTCTATGAATAAGCTAGACTATCAAAGGACTAACTAAATCAGGACTAAAGTAAGATTATTAAAGGAGAAGATGGTATTAAAGGAGAAGGTATATTATGGCTCTCCATTCATTCCATTTTGTACAATAACTTTGTCAATAATCAATATTTTAAAATGACAACTGAAGGATTACATTCGCCACAGTGTTGTTTAATCGATTGTACACTCAAATTTAAGTAATGTTTATTACTTAGGATGTTATTTATAAAAGTGTGACAATACAACATAATGGGTCGGCGAGAAAATGGGGTAGCAATGTAAAACTGATACAAAAAATTAATTTTGTTTAAAATATATAAAATAATAACAAAGTATTTAATTACGAAATTATATGTTTATTCAAATTAAACTCTTAGAAGGGGAATAATAATGAACATAACTGCAAATTTTTAGGATATTGACATGGATATTGACTTGCTTGTTAGAAAATGCAATCTGCCAGAGAGACAGCAGTATACACAGTCTGTCCCAGATCCAATGAGACTGGTCTAAAAAAGATACAAAGCGTTTATTATTTTGATTTTTTATTCTTATTTATTCAAAATAGTCTCCTTCTGAGTCAATACAGTGCTGGAAACGTTCAACAAATTTTTCGAAACATTTTTTATACTCATCGGCTGGAATGGCCTTTAGTATGGCGGTCGAAGTCTTTTGGATGACCGGGATGGTATCGAAACGATTTCCTTTCATCGCCAATTTTAGTTTGGGAAATAGCCAGAAGTCGCACGGAGCCAAATCAGGTGAATACGGTGGATAATCGATAACAATGATACCTTTTTTGGTCAAGAATTCATGTACCATGATGGCTTTGTGCGATGGTGCATTATCGTGCAACCTTCCGTTTGCCCAAATCTTCGGTCAAAATTCGATAGACTGTGCTTTTCGGTATCCCAGTTTCCTCTTCGATGAGTCTCGCAGACACACAGCGGTCGCATCGAAGAATTTCTTTGACTTTCTCGATGTTTTCTTCATTGCGAGTGGTTTTTGGCAGCGGTGCTCGGTCATCGTCTGCAAGGTCCTCATGACCGTCACGGAATCGGCCAAACCAACGGAAAACCTGTGCACGGGACATGCATTCATCCCCGTACACATTTCTTATCGTTTCGTACGTTTCTGCATCACTTTTACCCAATTTAAAACATGTTCCATGTTGGTTTTTCGACCGACGTACACAAAGTGACTTTACATAAAATGTCAAACCACAGTGAAATATCAACCGAATTCGCTCAAATTTTGAGGTTAAGTAGATGAAGGGTAGAATATTCACCTACCATCATTCACTCATAGATATCGCTGCGCTAAGAACTTTGATGGAACCAGTCTCATCGTATCTAGGACAGACTGTGCAGTGCAGACGTAATTCCAACAGTGGATTACAAATTAGAATCGATTTATCGAATAATTACTTTGATACAAAAACCTCGAAAAAGAGATAGTATTTATCAGCACTCTTATGGGGCTACATTAGCAAACTGTTATGCTATTTCATTCAACTTTGCATAACTTGAAAGATGTACAACTGAATAAAATGTCAAGTAACAAACAAAATACTCAATTGTACATACATTCGTGTGATAATACGCCCAAGTTTAAAAATAATGAAAAAACATGTCTAATTAAATGCTAAAATGTACCTTGAGAAACATTTCGAAATGCTCGAAAGTAAAAATGCGTTATGAAAAGTACTAGCTATTGTGTATCGATATATTAGCGTCATTGCGCTAGTGGCGAACTACTAAACAAATAATTCCATAAATAATAACTACCTATTGTCTACCTATTGGAATTCGCTATCTAATGATGGAGATATTGAAAGTAGCCATAATACCTACAAGGACCATAAAACCATCTTCTCTTCTACGGTTTTATGTATTTTCTGAATAGCACCTATTGTTCTCAATAAGGAATATTGGTTATTGAGTTTTCGTAGATATCTTGCAATTAGTAAAACCCCAACATTACGACGCAATATAGACGCGAGCAGTCCTCTTAATTGCAATCGAACGATCTCGCATCTGGAAGCGTCTCGCGTTACGAAGACATCTACGTGATCAATCTATGTCAAGTTTAAGGGAATTTGCAGATACATGGTGTACATGGATGAGAATGGAGACGCCGAAGGCAATTACACGCTGATTGCATTGGACGACAGACCCACGAGGGGGTGCGGGCTTTATCCGATAGCGTACTTCGTCGGGAAAGAGCAGGGCACAAATTTACCGGTAAGCGAGCTGCTTTCGCCACCGCGATGTTATTTCGTTCCCGGGAAAAGTGAATATCAACAAGAGTATACAGAGTCGTAATGCGATTTTATCGGTTTCCGTGGACGTAAAGCGGTGGCGATAGCTCTAATTCGCGCCGAGCTGTGTTGAGTCGACTTCTAATCTAATCAGAACTAATGAGACTTGTAGAAGCTGCGATTGACCAAGCAGATATCATGGGTTGGGAACGGACCGCCGGTCGCGGAGCCTTACTGCGGGTATCACGGTGGAAAGTGCAAATGTGAGTGACGCTCAATCACTCTCATCGATATTCTCGCGTGCACGCGAAGATGCAAACGACGCCTTCGCAAAGATCGACATATAGGATGAGTTTTTTAATTTAACATAAATCCACCGCATCTTCATCGAACAAATGACAATACGGCAGAGTTGGGTATTTAATCAATTAAAAATTAAGTTAAGAAATTAAAAAGTTAATAATCTTTAACTTAATTAATAACTTTTAATTTAACTTGGTTAATCTTAATCGTTAACTTTTTACTTAAACTAGTTACTTTTAGATGCATTAACGTTAACTTATTAACTTTTTTTCCAAGTCACGAATTAAAATAATTCATCAACATCAAAGTCACATGAAAATGGTCCACAATAGTTATCAAGGAAATAATTAGACATTATATTAATGAACGTATGCGCATGATGATTTCTATAAATAAAGTCTCATTCAAAATAACTCGAATCTGTTGATGATATCCTGGCAAAAGCGAACGGTTTATGGTGGTAGATATTGGAGTTGTGCAGTTAGTATCATGCACCGCTTGCTGTTGCCAACCAGACCATTAACAAATTCGAGCCATTTTGGAAGATACCTTGTTCACAGAGCACGCCCTACCGTTTCCCGCGTACTCATTCACTAACAGTGTTTAAGTAATTCCTCGAAAACTATTCTATAATTCTAGTAGAATAATGACATAAGTAAAATTATGTACAGGATTTTTCTGTTCAGATTGATTCGCTTCATCTGCACATGAGTATTTTGCCTTTCACCGTTTTCAATTGTTCTTAATTGAGCGTTCTGTTCTTAAACATTTTTTCTCTATTGCAACCCCTATTATATTTTTCCGAATAATATATTAAATTATTAGAAAAAAATGCGTTTTATCTCTTTCATAAAATACTATCTTCTTAGTATTTCACCTAAATTTAATGTACGATTAAAAAAGTTATTATGTAAAAAACACATAACTCAGCATGATTAACTTTTAACTTTAATAAGTTAATTTAGCTTTTTAACTTAACTTTTAATCGAGTTAGTTGTTTAAGTAAATTAATTAATTTATAAGTCGTTAACTTTAAAATTAACTTAATTTCAAAAGAATTAACTTATCTAACCCTGCAATATGGCGTCTCCGATGGATGTTTGATGATATGTTTTTAAGAACGATTTGATGAATAGATTCAACTGAAGTCGATGATAAGAATTTAATATTTATATGCACGTATAATTTTCTGATACAAAGTTATCAATTATTATATTTTACACGTACACGTTTAATTTATAATAAATCTGTGCCACTGTCGTCAGTTGTTAAAGGCGAAATACCAAAAGAAAAATCAGAAACAGATTTATCTTTATACGTTTTTTTTTAATTAAATTATAATTTATTAGTGTTTCCATGTCAATAATCACACATAGCTATTAATATTTCTAGGTTAGGAAATCACCCGCATTATATTCAGTCAAAAATTTCACTAGTTCATCGGTAAAATGAGTCGATGGATCTGATGGATATGCGCTGAAAATAAAAACGCATTTATCAATAAATAAAAGAACGCTTCGCGGCAGCTGCGCTTTACGCGACGGAGCAATCGATGAATTAAAAAACTCACCCATATTTACCGCTGCGAGGTAACCCCGCTGTCGCAAAAATATCTTTGAATTGTCCGTTACAGCTCATACCGGCGAGATCGTGGGAGGCATCGTCGGCGGATTGGCGTTCATTATCACGGCGGTTGTTTTGATCCTCTACAGAAACTGGAAGTACGAACAAGAATTGGATTCCTTACTCTGGAAGGTGAACTACAAGGACATCCAGATTAAGGAGCAGAAGAAGGACGAAGCGGCGGGAGCCAACGAGGCGCCTGCCAAATGCAATTCCAAGGTAACTGCCCGTCCCGACGTTGCCGCTCGTATTCTCGTGGAAATTCTCGTGGCCGACATTTCCTCGTGCTTACTTCCATCGTCTCTTGTCGAGCAATTGGTCGTACTGTGGATCGAAATCGTTCGCATTCGTGCTACGCACAGCTCGTTTCCATCTTTGTCAATCTTCGTGTCGATCGATAAAAGCGCAGCATCGATAAAATTATTACAATGTAGGCTAAATACATTCTTCCTTCTTCTGAAGAAGGAAAAATATACTTATGCAGAGTGTTCCAGATCACCGTACCAATTTTTTGTAAACGCGACATTTTGTAAAGACAACATTTTAGAGAAAAATGTTTCAGACAAAAGTTATTTGGTTTGAAAGGGGACATAAGATAGCGATAGCTATCATAAGATAGCGATAGATATCGTAAGTTAAATGTTGAAAAAGGTACCAAGTTTGCCTTAAATATTTCACAAAATGTTAAGTAAATAAAAAAGTATTTCAGACAAAAGTTGTTCAAATTACTCGGTAGAAAAAAGTTGATATAATAAAAAATTGAAGTTACCGTTTAAAAAAATTGATAATCAGTGAATGTCTCGAAAGTGACGCCATCCGTAAATAAAATAATTTTACTGTCTTATATCTCCCTTTAAACTAAACAACTTTTGTCTGAAACGTTTTTCTCTAAAATATCGCGTTTATATAAAAATTGGGTGGTATGGGTGGTATGGAACACCCTATACAGGGTGGTCCATTTTAACCGACAATTGGAAATATTTCATTAGGTAAGCCAGATTGCGAAAAATGTTTCAAACAAAAGTTGTAGAGTTCAGAGGGGAACATCTGACAGTGACCTTGGCTTGACCTTGGTCGTTTAAAGATCAACTTTAAAATCCTAAATGGAATCCCCATTTTTATTGCATATTCTTATAGCCCTTGTCGAGACATTTTCAGAATACTACCTACTTTTGCCTTTTGCGTAAGCCATTCCCAAGATATGAAGCTTCAAAATTGACATACCGCCGGCATTCGCATTACCCGATGTTACACCGCGGGGAGGTTGCTTGGTTGGATTTGTACATTGCAATGGCCCTAAAAAGAGTCGATTGTATGTGTGTGTGTGTATGTGGAGGGGGGGGCTTATTCATCATAGATGTTCGAAAATGCCGCCATCGACAGCTCGGCACACTCGAACTCGCTTTTCGAAACTTTTGACGAGTTTCAGAAGAACGTTTGCTAGAAACGTTTGCACGCATTTCTGATGCGATCCATTATATTTTGCCGCGTCGTTGGCGGTTGATGAAACACTGCGTCTTTCGAAAATCCTCACAGATAAAAATCCGGAGGAGTAAAGTCAAATGATTTTGGTGGCCTTCAAATTGGACCATCCTGATGAGGGACCTATCCATTGATGAGGGAAAGTGACATCGAGGTGATTGCCGAAGGAAAGTAAACTATGATGTACAAATCCGATTGAACAACCTCTTTGCGGTGTACATCGGGTAATGTGAATTCCGGCGATATGTCAACTTTGAAGCTTCATATCTTGCGAATAATTTACGCAAAAGACAAAAATAAGTAGTGTTTTAAAAACATCTCGAAAAGAGCTACAAGCATATGTAATAAAAAATGGAGAGTTCCATTTAAGATTTTAAAGTTGACCTTTATGTGACCTTCAAACGACAATCTAAGGTCAAGCCAAGGTCACCGTCAGATGTCCCCCTCTAAACCCTATAACTTTTGTTTGAGATATTTTTCGCGATCTAGCTTACCTGACGAAATATTTCCGATTGTCGATTAAAACGGACCATCCTGTATATTCTGTATACAAAATGTTTAAAAAAGAGGTTCAGGATTTGAAGGATAAATGGACACTCATAAGATAGAGGAAAAAAGTTCTTACAATATAGACCAAAAATTAATATTGTCGAAGTTATGAACAATTATTTATTTGAATTAAAGCAAGTGACCTACTTGCTTCTAGTTCTTGCTACAAAATTTGCAGAAAATTTTCATGTCCTCCTATTTTTGCACACGCTTTACATCTTCGTATAGAATTGCGAACTCTTTCAAAAATTTCCGGCTTTGTCCCAACTATTTAATATTTGCTTTAATTAAAATAAATAATTGTTCACAACTCTAATAATATTAATTTTTTGACCTATGTTTATTAGCACTTTTTTCCTCCATTTTGTAAATACCGCCTACCTTTAGAGCTCTAAATCCTTTTTCTTAATACTTGTATATCAACGAATATAAAACATAATTACATAAAGTAATCTCAAATTAAACTTTAATCAGCTTCAAATTCGTCCCAAACGTTAAATATATCTCTTTTCGTTTGATGCAGCCGCCAACAGCACAACCCATAGTGCGAACCAGCCAAGTCTCATTGAGTTCGAATCCCGACGCGGACTTCCGATACTCCATGATTTACACGCAAATTGGCGTATACAAAGGACGGATATTCGCCGTGAAGAAAGTCAGGAAGAAATCGATCGAGATCACGCGGGAAATGAAAAAAGAACTGAAAATGGTAATGGCGCGCTTAGGCACAATCGACAGTTTCAATTCTATTCGTAATTGTCGCGTGACGACTGTTATTGACTCGTATCGAAACATTCGCACTTGTTACGACGACGTTATGTACTTTCAGATGCGCGATTTACGGCATGACAACCTCATCTCCTTCATTGGTGCATGCACCGACCCACCCAATATCTGCATCGTCGTTGAGTACAGCGCTCGTGGTAGCCTCAAGGTCGGTATAATTCTTATGTCATTATTGTGAAATTATTTTAGTACATGTGTTGAGATCGGTATTAATGCTGCGGATTACCATGTTAACTTTTTGTGTAGCAGTGAGTATACTTATCACTTTCTTCTTTTTCATTTTTATTATATACTATTTACAACTTAATGAAAATAAATATAATTTCACATTCCTCTCATATATTAATATTTATTTTACATGTTTCTCATGGTTTTCATATCCAATTATTCATTTTTAATTATTTATAAACCAATAAACTTGGAATAAAGCAATTTACAAAAGGAAATTTAATTTTATGGAAAATATTTAAGATTAAAAGCTGAATATTTTATTAAATATTCTTTACATGTCAAAATATATTTTTTTAGAATTTTTCGCACGCTAGATCCTTTTCTTATAAGTCTTGACTTGAACGTGACTTGAATGAATTTTGTAAATCTGACGTGAAATTCGTAATTAACGAAAAACTTTTATATCGTATATCTGATTTACATTTATTCAGACTTACGCTAATTTTGATCTTATAGTTGCCATATTGAATCTACCATTTTGAACTTTTGTAACATATGATTCTTTTGATATATTAATACTTATTTTAAATGTTACCCATGATTTTCATATTCGATTATTAATTTTTAAACCAATGAAGTTGGGAAAAAGTGTTTTGCAGAAGAAAATTTAATTTCTTGGGAAATATTTAAGATTAGAGGTTGAAATTTTTACTGCGAATATTCTTCACATGTCAAAATATGGTATATATATCTTTCCAGAATTTTTTGCGTACTAGATTATTTTTTATAAACAAATTGCTTGAATGGATTTTGTAAATCTGACATAAGAATTAATTAACGATCTGAAAAATCCTTACCATGGATCTGTGATTTATGTTTATTCAGACTTATGCTAATTTACAGCTTTGTATGGTAGCCATATTGAATAGAGCCATTTTTAATTATTGAAGTCTGACTTCAGATTCATAATCAGCGACCCAAGAAATATAAAAATGAAAAATTTCACAGAAACTGTCAAGTAGAAAAAATGTACCATATAGAGTTAAAATCCGTAATTTCAAGTTCCCCGTGAAACGCTCGGCGACAAAATATTTACTTTTCCTTTTCCTTTTTTTTGTTTTCAGGACATACTTGAGAACGAAGACATAAAACTCGATAATATGTTCATGGCGTCCCTCGTCGGCGACATCATTAGAGTGAGTTTTCGTCAATTTTGTTCGAGCATTAAAGCGGCCTTCGCTCTTTCAACTCCGTAAGGCGTATAATATATTTTCGTTCAAAAAAGTTGTATTAAATTTCCTTCATGCGCGTAGCGTCGTATCGCCAGATGAAAGGTCCGTAATGTGAGGAAAGCAATTTTCCAAACTTGTCCACACTTCTCCCCCGCCACTTCTCCCTTCCGCGTGCGGCAACTTTTACGCTAGAAATAAGCGCGTTGGAGTAACTTGCACAGTTCTGCAACGATCGCCGGTATTCAGAGAAATTTCTTCCTTTCTTCATTTGACGACTATAGCTTGTTGACTAAATTTGTTGAAAAAAAAATACTAGACGTTTCTACTCTATTTAGTCTCGAAAATATATTGTTACAATAGTGCCCTCACTTTTGTTAACTTATTAATCTTTGGAAATTTCTAAATCATCAAATTAACAAAAATCAGGGCGCTATTGTAACAATATATTCTTGAGACCAGAGTAAAAAAGTCAAGTACCACTTTTTCTTCCGATAACAAATAGTTATCGAGATATTGTAAACTAAAAAGTTACCAATTAATATTAAATATCTGAAAAAATATTAGACAAGTGAAAAAATGTTTCAGACAAAAATTGTGAAAATTAATTAGTAGGAAAAGGTAATATAATAAAAAATTGAGGTTTCTATTTAAGAAAAGTAATGATCAATGAATATCTTGAAAGTGGCGTCATGTGTAAACAAAATGATATAGTTGTTTCATATCCCTTTCGAAACTATACAATTTTTGTCTGAAACGTTTCTTAGTATCTTCCATATTTTTCATATTTTTTGCCTGGCTTATTTAAAATGGGACACTCTATATATCGTTGGAACTTTTTCTTTTGCTTTAAGAATGTAATTTATACCAAAAAGTCTTATGTTCTACTTATTTATAGTCTATTTATGCACAATAAATCATTTATTCTTCGAAAGATAAAAAGAAATATATTGATTTTAAGAGATATACCGATTTGTAGGTTAGAAACTATATCTCCTTCCAGTTGTTAGTATGTCGGCATGCCAGACATGCCGACTATGTATGGGCATTAATCATTTGTTTGAAATCCAGTAGTCGGTATATTTATACTTCCTTAAAGACTTCTTTTTTATTTTTATAATAAAAATGCCTGTTATACTTATAATTATTGATTAAATTTTTTATTCTATTTTCAACATATCTAAAATATAGTAGTTCTCATTCTAATTATCTTGGTTGTTGATATGTATGAAAATTACTGCCATATCTCAATTTCTCTTTTGTTAGTTAAGTTTTTCCGAGTATTATCAGCATATTTTAAATTAGTAGTTTTCTTTTTTATGTATTTTTTAGTTTAAACTCATAATTGTATTTGTACACACACACACACACACACACACATACATATACCTACACACGTATGTTTATCTTTCTCTCTATTTATTATAATAAAAATAATATGTTTAATGTCTACCGTTAATATATACATGAAACATATAATAAACTAATATCTAAAAAGATAGTGCTGGCTGGTAGAAAATCAGAGTGATGGGAAATGGAGATTGGTAGTTTTCTAGTATTTATCATCAAAATGAGTATTAAGATCTAAATAAAATTCTTTGAAACTCCTCATAACTAAACTAGAACATATTCTCTTCGCACAGTGACCGAATAATATAAATTTTGATTAACAATGATTTTTTTAAGAAGAAAAAGACTGATTCTTTTGACCAACAAGGTGTCAACTACTGAGTGTTTCCCCTAATCACAAATTCATGGCCTCCCCCTCCTCCGGCGCAAAGTTCAAACTAACTTTCAAAATGCATCCGTTGCATCGTCTCTCAGAACAGGCTCAACTTGACGAACTCAATTGAGGTGTCTCATGCCTGGTAATTTTGCAGCAACGAGTATGTAAATGCAGGCCTCGGTGATGCAATAAATAAGTGAATAGCCGCTTGCATTGTAAATTTGCGGCTGGCCGGCTTTATGTCCGATCTCGCGCATCAGGACATTAATGACCGTCACTTCTGAAGAGTAAATTGAACGCTGTCTTTTAGGGTATGATCTATCTGCACGAGTCGGTCATAAAGTACCACGGATCGCTGAGCACATCGAACTGCCTGGTGGATTCGCGGTGGGTCGTAAAGCTGGCGGATTTCGGTCTCCACGAATTCAAGCGCGACGCGGAATGCGATCCCAGCGACGTCATAAAAAAATATCACGGTGAGCACGACAAGAGAAGGCGATGCTCGCGTGAACCCCGCGAACACTTCCGTGTCCCACGAAAGTCTGGACGGCTTTCGAATGTTTTATGCCGGTCGTAATTTTCTAATCTCATTCACGCCCGTTGAATATACAGCGCGTTTTGCGAGCTTGTAAAACAAAAAATATTAAAAGAGATATCAGGGGCTTGCGAAGATTCGGATTTTCGGCCCCATGTTTCTTTCGTTGATATCAGATGACCAAAACAGTTCGGGCGGTTTTCGCTCGAGTTTGACGCAATGAGTTGTCGAATCGTGTTGAAATTTATTTATACTTATTACATGGCACAGATTTGCGTGAGTTAATCGGCGAACTTTGTCGTGGCATAGTCTCTTGGTTTATGATTATTCATTCTTTTCTGTTGAATCGAGTGTACTTCGAGTATGTTTGCTTTGTGAATTTAAACTCGGGTGAAAAGCTGCAGAAGCATGTCTTAAGATACACGTACCGCTTGGAAAAAAGATATGCTGGAAGAACGGATTGCACAGGACTCATTAAAAAATTTTCTCTCAACGATTAATTGAGGATGTACCACATGCAGGAGGATCCTTCGCTATCGATAACGAATAGTTATCGATTATTTGTTCATATATCAGTTGTAACATTTTTTTTTTCTAAAAATTTCCGCCCCTGTATAAATTTTAGTACAAAACCGCACGGACTTTATTGGTTACTTAATATTAGAAGTGTGATTTAGTTTTGAGGGCTTTACACGAGGTTGCATTAATATCAGTTTTGTCGAAGATATCCCAATCATAGCTTTGTTCCTTAATGCTTTAATATTAATCCATGATACTTAGTCACTTACTAACAATAGACGCAGTAAAAATCATGTTAATACTATTTTAAAAATGGAGTTTCCTAAAGAACATTTTCGACATGCGCTGCTTTTGTTTTTTAATCAGAAGAAAACGGCGGCTGAAGGTCATAGAATTTTAATAGAAATTTATGGTTGCTCCATCAATTAAGACATGTAAATATTAGTTTAGACGATCCAAAAGTGGTAATTTCAATGTTAACGACAAAGATCGCTTGGGACAACCAAAAAAGCTTGAAAATAGATTGAATAATGCAAGCATTATTGAATGAAAATTTTGCACAATTCACTTTAAACCTGCCAGAATATTAAATATTGATCATACAACAGTTACTAAACGTTTACACGATATAGGAAAGAATCTCACAAAGAAGGAAAATGGCTTCCACATCAATTATCAGAAAATGCGATTGCGTACCGGTTGAACATTTGCATTTTGTTCAAAGATATGGCTGTGTTTTGATGGGATTAAGAAGATGTATACTATGTATACTATGTATACTATGAATTGTTAAATCCAAATGAAACTGTTACTGCTGATCGTTATCCACAACAATTATATAAATTAAAACGAGCATTGGACCAAAAACGAGATTACCTATTGCGAGTAAACGACGCAAAGTGATCCTTCTTCGTGACAATGCTCGACTTAATGTTGCATTATCAGTAAAGCCAACGTTATTACAGCTAGAACGGGAAATCTTACCGCACCCCATGTATTCTCTAGACATTGCTCCATCACTTGTTCCGGTTGATGCAACATGCTCTAGAGCAGGGTTTCCCAATCTTTTTTGTATTTCGCACCCCTAAAAATTTATTAATGAACCTTCGCACCTCCTCACAAAAAAGAAAATTATTCCTATGTTTTATGGTAAAAATTAATTGTTAGGATTTTAAGGTAAGAAGTCAATTTATAATAATTTATTATTACATAGTGTTGTTTTATAGAAATTAGCTATAATTTTAATATTATAAAATTATTATTCATGTTTCGCATAGTAATGAATATATACGTACAGATACGTACAAAATATATAATTTTAATAACACTTTTTTTAATTTGATGATAAAAATGCCGGATTATTCCAGAATTTATCTTGATCATTCTTAATTACAATCATTTTTCCATCAACATTCCCAAGAATATTTTTTCGCACCCCCTGTTGGGAATCTCTGCTCTAGAGGATACATACTTTCATAACTTTGAACAAGTGCGAAAATTTGATGAAAATTGGATCAACTCCAAAGGAGATTTTATCGTCGTGGAATCCATCTCTTGCCAGAAAGATGGGAAAAAGTTATAGAAAACGAAGGAAAATATTTTGATTAAGATATTCGTTCATTGTCTTGTAAATCAATTTTTGAGAAAAAAATCTCAAAACTAAATCACACTCTTAATAGTAAAGCAACGATATAAGTTCGACCAAAGAATCTGCTATCATCATGCCACACTTTTGTCCACTTTTGGTGTGTCCGAAGAAGGACACACGTCCTTTCCTAATTACATGGTCAATGATCCGACAAACTTTTGCAAATTCCTGATTAAATCCGGTGAACCAGCTGAGCTGCTTGCGGAAGCGCCGACCGATGACACGCACTCGTAGCTGTTTACCGTGATAATTTGTATAAACGCTATTGTGGTAGTAATTAACATTGCCATGCAAATAACTTGCAGGATTACTATACAAGGCGCCCGAGTTATTGCGCTCCAACGGTCTCAGTGAGCCAAGCGCTCGTGATTTTCAAAAAGGAGATGTCTACTCGTTCGCCATAGTGCTGTACGAGCTGCAAGGCAGGCACGGGCCCTTCGGCGTCACGCAACTGTCAGCGGCCGAGATACTGAAGAAAGTAATCGCGAAAGATCCTGAAACATCAGCATTTAGGTAGACTATTAAATTGCCTTTAATATTAGAGGGACCGGATTTGGCGACTCCCCTAGAAGGACCGTAGGAGCCAAATTGGCTCCAAGCATATCTTTTCGTAAATAACAAATAGAAAGAAACGAAATGTATAGGCAATTATAAAATTTAACGTTTTAACAATAATATTACTAATTTATTGAACAAAAGAAACTGTTAGTTATATTATATTGAATTTTCTTAGTCTTTGGAGAAAGACTAATCGTGAAATGCAACGCCGTTATATACTACAGGAAACGCATTTGTACGTAATTTTCTTTGTACATTCACCGCACACAAATTTTTTACACAAACATTTTCCAGCTTTATGATGTTTTCTTGCAGTTGTTTTTATTTGACAAAATGATCGTTTGTCTGAAGAATCGTCGAATTCAATTTCTTCTTCGGTTGAATCAAAATTTTGAGACTTTCGTCTCTGAGCAACACATGGGGCACTCAACTCTTCCACGAGGTTTTGTAAACAGATTCTTCTTGATATTTTTACACGTAACTTCCTTGTATATAATCGATGCACTTATTGCAGTAAAATCCAAAATATTATAAAAAATATGAACTGGCTAACGGCGAAATACTATATATGCATATCTATGCATACTGTGTGTATATATGTATGTATATAATTGTTTTTCAAACGAACAAATAGATAGATAGACATAAAAAATTTATTTACCTATTTAAAGTCATAAAACTTGTAAATAAACCCGTAAAACATATCAGAATGCAATATCAGATATAAGGAAGCCAAATTGGCTCCAACGGCCCTTCTAGGTAGACAATTAAATAAAAATTCAACCATCTTATATAATTGAAAAATTTGTTTACCACAATTAAGAATATGAAAAATGATGAAAAGTCACAAAAGGATATCACTTGGAGGCATAGTTGAAATAAGTTATAGCACTTAGAATTTCGCGAGGAACCAAATTGATTACCTCGGTCCTTTTAATGTTAATCCGAAGAGTTTTCGCGTGTCATTAAACGGCTCTCTCTCTCTCTCTCTCTCTCTCTCTCCCTCTCTTTCTCCTATTTGAAACCGAATTGCAGACCGCCTCTGGAGCAACTGGAGAACACGTTTGATTTCGTTCGCGACTGCTTGCTGGAGTGCTGGGCGGAAAATCCGGACTACCGGCCGGATTTCAAAATTATTAGGAACAAATTGAGACCGCTGCGGAAGGGCATGTGAGTTGTCCATTTGCGTTTCCCTCTTTCGCTTTATCCGCGATATCGTCGGGAATATTGTTTCGTCGGTCAATATAAATTACATACGCACGTAAACGTGTCTTTATCGTGCAGGAAAGCGAACATCTTCGACAATATGATGTCGTTAATGGAACAATACGCGAATAATCTCGAAGCTCTCGTCGATGAGCGCACGGATCAGTTGACCGAAGAGAAGAAGAAAACAGGTCAGTCGTGTCGACCGATAAATCTTAATCAATATTTCATTATTATCGTGAATGAGGAATTTTTTAATTCGCTCTTTTGTCGCTTCCAGACGCGTTGCTGTACGAAATGTTACCGCGTTACGTGGCCGAGCAATTAAAAAAGGGACACAAAGTGGAGGCTGAAAGTTTCGATTGCGTTACCATCTACTTCAGTGATATTGTCGGTTTCACGTCCATGTCTGCGGAGAGTACACCGTTACAGGTACAAACGTTGTATTTGAAAAACCATCTGACTTGAGAGGTCACCTCGCACTTCAGTTTAGTCATCCGTGTGAATAATAATACGTTGATAAAATTTAGAATTTACGTTAAGGGCTTGAGAGATTTAAGACAATTTATTTATTATAATTTATTTTACTTAATATCTTGAATGTAAGCTAAAAGCTTATTATAATTTCCTCTGCAAGGTAGTGGATTTTCTCAACGATCTGTACACGTGCTTCGACTCGACGATACAAAATTATGACGTCTACAAAGTCGAAACTATTGGAGACGCTTACATGGTGGTAAGTATTGTAAAACTAAAATTATTCACGAAACTTACACTTAATCTTTACCCTAAAAAAAAAACATGTTTGTACTATTATAAGTGAAATTTCACCTCAGTATATATTTTTTTATTTTAGAAATCCAAAAAGTCAAACAAATACATTTAAATGTTTTATTATTATTATTGAATGTTAGATGAAAAGTAGAGAAGTTATTGTTTACAGCAATTACAAACGTTTCTTGATAAGATACAAGAATAAAATTCAAAGGGTGAAATTTCACCCATGATAGCTTTTAAGTATTAAAATGTTATTATTAAGAGTATAATTTAGTTTTAAGAGTTCCTTTTTTTCAAAAACTGATTTACTTAAACAAGATAATGAATGAATATCTTAATCAAAATATTTTCCTTCGTTTTCTCATTCCCATCTTTCCGGTAAGAGATAGATTCCGCGACGATAAAAAGATTCTCCTTTGGAGTTGATTCAATTTTCGCACTTATTTAAAGTTATGAAAGTGTGTATCCTCTAGAGCATGTTGCATCGATCGAAACAAGTTATAATCGGATGGTGCAACGTCTGCAAAATACGCGAGGTGCGATAAGACTTTCTATTTTAGCTCTAATAGTATCTGCTTCATTAATAATGTAACATGAAGTCGAGCATTGTCGCGAAGTAGGATCATTTTGCATCGTTTATTCGCACTTGGTGATCGTATTTGGTCCAATGCTTGCTTCAATTTATATAATTGTTGTCGATCTGCGGTGATAGTTTCATTCGGATTTAACAGTTCATAGTACACGTAGTTCATAGTACTTTCTTAATCCCATCAAAATACAGCCATATCTTTGAACAAAATGCAAATGTTCAACCGGTTCGCAATCGCATTTTCCGATAATTGATGTGGAAGCCATTTTCCTCCTTTGTGAATCTTTCCTATATCATGTAAACGTTTAGTAACTGTTGTACGATCAATATTTAATGTTCTGGCAACTTCTGAAGTGATTATGCTAGATTTTCGTCCATTCGTCCAATAATGCTTGCAAATCTATATTTTCAAGCTTTTTTGGTTGTCCGCGATTTGGTTGGAAGCGATTTTTGTCGTTAACATTGAAATTATCACTTTTGAATCGTCTAAACCAATATTCACATGTTTTAATTGATGGAGCAACATCACCATATGTTTCTATCAGAATTCTTTGACCTTCAGCCGCCACTTTTTTCCGATTAGAAAACAAAAGCAGGAAGTTACATTTTTAAAATGGTGTTAACACGATTTTTACTGCATTTATTTCTGGTAAATGACTGAATGTCATGAATTAATATTAAAGCATCAAAAAATGATAGCTATGATTGGAATGTCTTCGACAAAACTGACATTAGTGCCATCTCTTGCAAAACCTTCAAAACTAAATTATACTCCTAATATAACGCATTTGTGTGTACAGATAATTACGAAACGAGTCAATTAAGAGGGTGTCGCTCACGTACAGACGGGTTTTATTTTTCCACAGGTGAGCGGACTGCCGATAAGAAACGGCATTCAACATGCTGGAGAAATAGCGAGCATGTCGTTGTGCCTTTTGGACGCGATTAAGCAGTTCGCCATCCGCCACCGGCCACACGATAAACTGCAACTTCGAATAGGAATACATTCCGGTGCGTTTTCAACAAGAGAAAAAGGACTTTTTGAGTCATCAGGGAGTAACGCAAATTGTCACAGTTATTTCGTGCGATATAATTTCGCGAATTAATTATGATTTCTTGACAGGTCCAGTGTGCGCTGGCGTTGTCGGGCTAAAAATGCCGCGTTATTGTTTGTTTGGGGACACGGTGAATACAGCCAGCCGCATGGAGTCGACAGGATTACGTGAGTGTTCGTCTCTCAATACATAGATGAATATCAAAGCATTCAACAGAACATATAAATATTATCAAGTTGTTATGGTGAGAATACGATAACCGCGATTCGTGTTTTGTGCAAATTGATACGCAAACATAACTCACAGCATTTACTGTTAAAGGCTACTATGAGTGAAATTTTATCTCAAGCGAATTTTTAACCTTATTAGAAAACGTAACCACACTGACGACACTGACTTTATCTAGATATTTATTTACACTATCAATGGTGATAATATTATGATAAAACAGATCAATTCTCGTATACATTTTGCTGTAAACATAACAAGAAAAATTAGCTCGAGGTGATATCTGATGGTAGCTTATAAAAGTAGTAACACATCATCTGCAACTTGTGTCTGGAGTTGTGAAGAAAGTGACTGACGACCTTTTTGAAGAAATGAAAGACGATTTTGTCGTAGAAAGTGAAAACTTTATTCAGTTATATATTGAATATTTCGTTCTAACATCTTTTGCCATCTTTCAACTAACTTCATAATTCCGCGCTTATAGAAGGTCCCTATTAGCAAAAAATTAAACTATGTGATTTGTTACATCTTCATTTGGGTCGATATGTACACCATTCAAAGAATTTTGCACAGACCGATAAGGTAATCTGATGGTGCAAAATCAGATAAAGATGATGGCAACATCCCAAGCTTCAATAATTTTTGCCGAATCATCAAACTTGTGTGTGGTCTTGCGTTGTTATGATGGGACACCTTACACCTTTTATATTCACCAATTCTGATCGTCCCACGCGAATAGCTGTATTTAATTTATCCAATTAGCGACAGTAGACATTCAAATCAATCATTAATCTCAGCCTGGGATAGAGATATGAGTGCGGAGTTTTTTTTGAAATTATATGACATATATTTTAGTACAAAAAATATTAAACGAAAGTTCGATTGAGCAAATACTTTGAAAATGGCACAACGTGACGTGAACCCCGATTTTTGCAGTGTCGGCATGATTCCGTCCTGTACGTTCGTGCGATCTACAAAACAAAAATATTTTTTTAAAGGTTGTGGTTATCGTCTATCGAGGGGGATTTTTGAGTTTCGTAAAATTAACAAAATGGCGTAACTTTAAACAAAAAATGCGATTTTTCCTCAAAATCTCGTCATATTTTTTGTTATGAAAGAAAAACGAAACGGAAAATCTAAAAAAGCCCTCGATAGACGGTAGAGAATTTAATTACGAATATTTTCGTCTAAAGCGCACCCAGAAATATTGAAAACTCGACGAGTTGTCGTGCCGACACTGACGGAAAACAGCGTTTCGAGAAAAACGCGTATAAAGTTTTGACATGAAAACTTTATAATATAACTTTTGGATAATCAAACTTACTATTACTCAGTTATTCTGACGCCATAAGAGGTACCTTCCTGCGCCTCTTTAGCCATGTGTTGCTTCAATAGAGAAAGTCTACGAGCAATTTGAGCCTCCCTTATCGCTTGTTGCGCTTTGATGCGGGCGTGCATCAGACGGTTCGTGTCCTCTTCTTGGCAATATTGATACGCATTTCGTCCTACCTGGATGCCCAACAAATCCATTACGAGTAGATATAAGTCGGATCCGTCGTTAAAAACGCTCGCAGTCACTTAAACAGCTATTTCAACAATGCGCAAGCTGCCAAAGGTCGTCTTGGGCGCAACATTCCAAATATTCTGGTTCTAACTTTCATTATTATTTTGCGTATAACCACCTACGCATCTTTGCAGTAAATCTTCTTTACTTAAAGCATCATATGCGGGTTTGATGGCTGTCTGTACTATAATTTCCGATCAAGCAGGTTGATGTTTGTAATTTTGTATAGACCCTTTAGCTTTCGCTTTTTGCAACGTACACTAACTATTGGCTTCGGACGGACAGTACCTGTGTTGTGGCTTGACGTCAGTGGAAATTTTGTGGAATGTGGCTCAAATCGCGCCCTTCAGATTTTTTACTGAATCACACAAATACTGAAACACAATTATTTCGGATCGCCAAACCATAATACACTGTTAACTTGTCAATTAACGATGCCGTTAATTTTTCCTTGCCTTCGAGACTCGCCGACCTCGACTTCATGGCTGTTGCAGCTTCTCTAAATGTTTTTCTAACGTGAAGCGACCTACTCATGCGTTTCTGCACATGGCCCACACATTCTAATTTTGTCGGTATTATATTATTATATATACGCGCGTTAAGCAATGCGGAAAACGTTTTATAGTCGCCGACGCCAATATAATATGCATATGCGGTATTATATTGTATAATTCGAGTGATTGTTGAAACATTTGAACCATAGCGTCCCATTCCATTTTTCGCGGCTTTGCTTGCATAAGTTCCCTCGTTGACTCTAAAAGTGGCTTTTAGCCAATCAGGGGGTTTATAATCCACTTTTATAGACACTTTTAACGATAAAAAAGAATTCAAAATATGAGCTTAAAACTTCCGTGCTTCAGATACGAGGAATTTTTCCAACCATTAGGTATGATATAAAATTATTAAAACTAAAAAAAAATTTAACCGATCAGGCATATTTTTCGCTTCTGGGAATAGTTTCTGCTTGGAAAGCTAGTTTCCCGTAGATATAAAACTCTGATATTTTTTTTGGTTATCACTACTTATAGTCTCAGTTCAAAAATATTCAAATTTTATTCTTAAAACATAAAAAAGTCGGGTGTTAGAGGGTTAAAAAAAGCTTGAAATGTCAAATGATATGAAGGTTATAGGATTTGGAGTGAAGTTAGTTGCGTTTATTGACAAGTAAAGCCATTTATCCGTGAAAAACGACATAACTTTGTTGCGAACCTGATAAATAACGTTTAATATGTCAATTTTCGATTTCTAAAATGATTTTACGGTTTTTTAGAGTGAAGCTTGTTACTTGAAAATGCGACTAACGACATCTATGTGTAAAATGGCGGCAATCACTTTCTTTATAACCTATATTTCTATATTTCACCGACATCATCGACGCACATTTTTTATTTTTTTCTTCCTTACATCCTTTAGCGCTGAAAATCCACTGTAGTAGCGAAACGAAACAGCTACTAGACAAGTTAGGAGGATTCACCCTAGTCGAACGTGGGGTAGTTTCCATGAAAGGGAAAGGCGAGCGCTTGACGTACTGGTTAATCGGCGAGGACCCGATTCTACGTAGCACGCGTAGCGAAGAAAGAGCAAGCAAACGTAATAGCAGCAAAAAAAACAGCATGACCGACCAGCTAGTTCCACGCAGCTCCCTGAAGAACAAATCCCTGGTCAGGTCGACGTATATGCGTTGCTCCAGCGAGTCGCCGAAGCGGCTGCGATTCGCCAGCTCGGACCAGCTCGACCAGAAGAGCTCGAGGGTGAGCAACCAGCTGGAGTCGATCGTCGACAACAGTCCCTGCAAAACGAAGACCTCGTGCGCGATACGATCATCCTGCATGGAGAGCTGGAGATCGTCCAGCAATTCTTGCCCCTGCGTCGAGAAGCTGTGCGACCAAGAGGCGCAGCCGGACCTGCTGCGGCGCCAGCTACCATCAGACATGAAGAACACGCCATCGCTGCGCACGAATTTGATATTCGGCAACGAGTCGTGCCTGCCGCGCAGCAGCGCGAAAAATCTGCACCTCGGCGCGCCCGGCTTGCTTCAAGTCACCTGCAGATCCGCACCGAGCAGTCCCCGGCACAGTGCGACGGTGCTGAACGCCCAGAAGAGAGCGGCACAGTCCAACGAGGAGATCGACGGATGGGACGTAATGACGCCGTTGATTTATTATCCCGCCGGTCACCTGGATAACTGAACGAGTAGTCCAGTGAGCAGGCTCGATCAATCGGAATCCTTCGCGGGATACGGACGAATTCTCGTCGTTGAATGGTCGCGTCGAGCGACTTGAAGCAAGAACCGCATTACCCTGGCGGAAACGCAGCGAAGATACATCCGCACGGCTGCGCGTGCGAACGTGAAAGAGGCGTCTCTGCAGGAACAGCTTGACAATCGGTAAAGTTCCGTGAACGCGACATCGCGCGGACTCGAATATCGATTGAGCGTCGTAATCTCGTGCGTCGTGCGACGCACTTTCGAACGGCGAGACTTTTCGATCTCTCGCTCGCAGTAACACGACGCGGTACCAAAGCGGACTATACGTACAAACGAGATATATTATATCTCACACATATACGTGCGTCAACGTATTCGTAGCTAATTCTCTCTCTCTCTCTCTCTCTCTCTCTCTCTCTCTCTCTCTCTCTTTCCCTCTATCTTTCTCTCTTTTTATCTCTCTTTCTATCTATATGTCTATCTATCTATTTATTTCTCTCTTTCTTGTTCTCCCTTTCCCCTCCCTCATGCAGAAACGTCAGTACGTAAAAATAGCATATTCCTTATATTAGCGTAGACGAACGTAAAAGGCTCGTGCTTCTTATGCTAAGCAAGCGTCTAGTCAGTGATAATTTAAGCGCCACGTTCACGTTGTCTCTTGCATTTCCGTGCGCCGTCGAATGTCACTTCCCGGCGTGAAGAGCTAAGCCATCTGTAAACATTGCGTGTGGATTCGCGAGTCACCGTCGACAGCGAGACGATGAAAGTATTATTAATATTCTTACACAAATTTTTCAGAGGTCTTTTAACGAACAAACGATGCGTATAATCTGAGAGGAGGAGATAGATGTACTTACGCGACACGTTTTCTTCGTCCCCATTTTCTCTCCTTGAAGAAATGTATATCAATAAAATATGGATGAATAAAAACGTCTTTTCAACATCATCATTGCGTACTATGTGGGTTTCCTTGACTCGTTGAACATGCTACTGAGCGGAATTTATCGATTGAAGTTTCAGCGTTTCATGTGGAAATATTAATGACAGGATCTCTCGCAATACGACTAAGGTAAACGTATCGAATTACGCCACGTTAAGCAGAAACTAATTTTTGAGAGTTTATTTTTAAAAAAGTAAAGTGATGTTAGGTAAGACTAGGGTTGCCAAGTCCAAAAGTTAAAATTACCGGACATTTTTTCTTTGGTAACAAACCCAAACCGGACTAAACCGGACAAAAATAATAATCATAACGTTATATTATATACAAAATATGACAAGAATTTATTTACAATATTATTTTCCAAACAATTTTTTAAACAAGATTCGATTGAACAAAATAATAAACTATTACTTTTTTAATATATATGAAATGATGGTTCGGCAGATCATCTACTAGACGACTTTTCGTGGCGCTCGACCGTTTGTAGGCGCTTGGAAAAAATGTTGCTAAAATCTGAACTCTCATTCCATTGATTGGATATAATTTAAAAACTTTTTTTTTTGGTAACACAGGGGAAATCCATCATAGATACCCCCGACCCGTTGGGGGGGTCGGGGATATGTCAGACTCTTACAGACTAAAACCCCTGCGGGATGTCTACCATTCGGACCGTGGTGGGGGGAGTCAGGAGAACTGCTCCCGCATTCCCTACCCGACATAACTTAAAAACTGAACATATGACGTCCGGTCTAACTTATTAATCGGACACTGGACAAGATTTCTGAAAACCTGACAGATCGGGTCAAAACCGGGCAGTTGGCAACCCTAGATAAGACTATGAATCTTATTAAAAGTTATTATTGTAAATTAGCAAAAACGCACATACAAATTAGAAATAAACAAGATTATTTATCTACATATATATATGTATATAAAAGAATTAAGTGTGAACTGCAAATGTCCCGAATTACGTCCACTAAAATTGTAGGTCCCAATTTACGCCACTGATTATGTACCAAATGACGCCACTCTATATTATATTAGTTATTAGCTGTCACAATGACAATTCTGTTGGGTAAAAATATATAATAGCGTTTCTATTGAGCAATTCTATTGAGCAATTCTATTGAGCAATTCTATTGAGTAAAAATATATAAAGCGTAACATAGAAATGTCAATATGCATATTACAGAAAGAAAAAAAAAGAAATATATATATACTATATACAAGGTGTCCCATTTTAATCCGGCCGGCTGAATAAAATTCGAGGATGATATTTTCCAGAAAAAAATGTCAGACAAATGTTGCTCAGTTCTAACATTCGATGCCATCAACAATTTTGACCTCGGGTGAAGGGTTCAAGGTCATTCAAGGTCAACTTTTTTTTCTTTAATGGGAACCCCTATTTTTCATATCAGCAATCGATTCTACGTAAAAGAAAATGAAACTTTAGTCTGAAGCATTTTTTTTTATAACGCAAACTAATTTCACTTATTCAGCCTCCAAAATTGAAATTTTCAAACTTCCTGAATTTTTTACTCGAGAATGGTGGGGTTTAGGGGGAAATTGCAAAAGACAAAAAGTTCTTGGAATGCTGCAAGGAATTCACTCGAATTTTCGCATAGTTGATCGCGCACTTTTTTCCGCCAATGTTCTACCTGTCAGGGGGTACCTCGAAGAACGCACGTTCTTGTGCTTTCCGCGCTTTAAAAAATTAGAGTTTACTTCAGTATATTTTCGGCACTAGCAGGTGTCTTTGGAAAGGTCATATTTTACCTGTTTCTTCAGTTCCTCCTCGAGTTTGAATTTCTTGTAGCAGCTTTCCTTGTCACGCATGTAGTCATAATTGTCCATGTGCTTTCATGCAACATGATATTTCAAATGTTCATTCTCGTTAGATATATAATTGCAATCGTTGCAGTTGTACATGCGATAACCTTTGATTTTTTCGGAGGTGATCTGTCGACTTTCTCTTCCTATCGAAACCTTGGTTGCAAGTTTGCACTGCTGAGGCACATTTATGCGCTTTTCGATGCTGCTCCCTTTTTTGGAATGTTTGCCGCACAGTCGTTCTCGGAAGACTGCCCCGAGTCCTCATTTTTGCTTTTCTTCTGGTTGATAGGACGATTGTATGTGCGTCTTCAGATCCGCTAACTATTTATATTTCCACAGACAGGCTCAGTACACACTTCATCATAATTATCCGTGTGATTTCGTGCAATGTGTCTTTGCAAGTTATTCTCCTTGTTAAATACGTAGTTAACCATGGCTGCAGTTGCATATGGATTGTTTGTAAAGATCTATTTGTAAAGAGGTATTTTTTCCAACTATTACTTAGAAAGAGACATTCCGTTGCAGATTTTGTATTTATGAGGCATATTTATAGGCTTTTCAATGCTGGGGCTTCTTCTGAAATGTTTGCCGTACATGTCGCTCTCTGAAGACGGCCGTGGGTCCTCAATACTGCTTTTCTTTTATTTGTCAGAGTGAACGCGTCGTCTTGTTTTATTTGTCAGGGTGAACGTGTTGCCTTAGCTACACCCGATCTTTTCTCACCCAGTTACAGCCAGTCCCACTACATACTTAGTTTTTATTATTCATGTGCATTCTTATAAAGTGCTTTTGCATGTTTCGCAGGTTGTTGGTTTCGTAACTGCATGTTTCGTCTTCACATATGTGCACGCAATGTTGGTGAACCTTCATTGAGTGATCTACTAACATTTTCTTATTACAGAAAATTTGACCACAAATTCTGCATTGTTTAGAAAGTTTGTACATTTCATTTTTTTTTCTGAAGTATAGATTACTCTCTGAGGACGGTCCCGGTCCCATATTATTGCTTTTCATCTTATTTTTGTACTGACAAATCTTTATGTGGCACTTGAAATCATACTTATTCTTATATATCTTGTTACAGCCGGGCTCAGTACACACGTAGTCTCCGCTATTAGTCGCACGTTTTCTTACGTGTGTTTTCTCGTGTCTTTTGAAGTTACTCTTACAGTTGGTTTCGTAGTCGCAATGTTTACATTTGTAGATGCTACGTTTATGAACCTTCTCGCAATGATCTATCAACTCTTGTTTTCTGCGAAAGATTTGTTTGCAAATATCGCATTGTATTGGAATTCTTTTGTACTTTTTAGTGCTGCTCTCCTTGGTAGAATCTTTGCCACACAAATTATTCTCCAACGACGGTCCTGGCTGTATAATATTGGTTCCTTCTTGTTTGTTAGGTTGAAGACGTTGTATGCTCTTCAGCGACATATCATCCTGCAAATTGTAAACAAAGTTGCAACCTTACTAAGGACACGTGTAAACGTCCTTGTGCTTTCGTATAATGTAATTTTGCAAGATTACCGTATCGCAGTTGTAATTGCTGCATTTATTTGTACTACGTTCGACCATGTCGAGATGTTGCTTTGTCATATCCATCTTCAGACAGAAGTTCTGTTTGCAGATATTACATTGATAAAATACACTTATACATTATTCAATGCTTCTCCCTTTTTTAACGTTTGTCGCACGGATCACCCTCTAAAGACTGTACTAGTTTCTCTCTATCGATTCACTATTAATTGAGATTCTGTTCATTTCAATTTGCTTGGTACAATAATTTGTCTGCGTAACCGCACAACTTTATTTCTTTTCTTCGACTAATTCCTGATACCTGGAAGAGACATGTTTCGATATGTATTCTGTATGTCCGACGGGCGACTGTTTGAAATTATTGGTACTTACATGATATGGACAATATCCGAAAGCAAGATATATCAGGAAAACAAAAAAGGTCACGTCAAGATGACTGTGAATAGAGTATAAACATTTTCTTCATGAAGGAAACACGTGAAATAACCGTGGCGAGTCCCAATCACGTACTTACGTGCGGTGATTGGTTATGATATGAATCAAAATACGTCATAATCGTTGAGCGAGCGCTTTCTGGTCGCAGAACCATCGAGGAACAATTTGTTTGAAAAAACCAACTGTTTACATTGCTCAGATAGGTAGAATATTCAAAAGGAATATAACTCATTTATGTATTGTCATTTTCTTTTATTGTCATATATTTTAATATTGAATTGTTGCATAAATTTGTGTTCGATTTAAAAATAAACTTCAATAGGTTAAATTTTAAAGAATACATTTTTATTAATCAATTATAAAGTCTCCATTCTTTTCTACAATTGTTTTCCAACGATTTACAAGCTTGTCGGTACCATTTTTCAAAAAAGAGCTTCGTTTTTTTTCAACAAGTTCGTGAGGTGGTTTTTGACAGCTTTCTCGGACTTAAGATTTTCGCCCTTCAATATATTCTGTAAAGACTGGAACATATAAAAATCTAAAGGCAATATCTGGAGAATATACTGGGTGCTGGGGAATTTTCCATTATAACTCCTACTGCTGTTTGCAGCGTCTGTTGGGCGACGTGCGGTCTAGCATTGTTGTGGTGGAAGATGATGTCTTTCCGATTGGCCAAAACCGGACGTTTTTTTTCGAATAGCCGCATCGAGTCTAGTGAGTTGCTCACAGTACTTGTCCGTCATGATTGTTTCGCCGCATCGGAGTAGCTCGATGTGAATAATTTCTCTGTAATCCTGCCAAACACACAGCAACACCTTCAGTGGATGCAGGCCAGTATTAGGCCAGTATCAACATCTTAGAAATTTCGGTCTTCGAATTTTCTCTATGTTTGGGTCCACAAATTTATGCGAATGTTCTTTTTCCAAAATGAAAATCATAGAAATAGACAAACATTCATCTTTGAGTGACGCATCACTATCTTCGTTGATGCGTACTACCTCTTTCAAAATCTCTGTGGATATATTTTCCCTAGTAGAATCGACATATAAACGAGCAAGAAAATCCAATTAATACTTCTATAAAAATTGGCTATTTTTCGCTCTGTACTTATTCTTCCTCTTTCCTTTTTATATTTCTCACGATGTAGCATTTCGCTTTATTGTTGAGCCATATACCAGATCTGTAAATAAGAAACTGGAATTTGCCCACATATGGCCCTAGCTGTCAATGTAGTTACCGTCAAACCGCGTCATTGGCGCCATTTCCATTTGTTGACATCTGACAAAGATTTTCAACGCACAACAATACAAGTTTCATACAGCAGCATAGTTTGTAATAGCGTTAAACATGTCGAATTTTGTGCATGGAAGCTACGATTTGCGGACAGCATTGATTTTCTGTTACCATTTGAAGAAAACTGCTGCAGAATCGCATCGAATGCTTATCGAAGCTTATGGTGAGCATGCTCTTGGTAAATCACAGTGCTTTCAGTGGTTTAAAAAATTCTAACGTGGCGATTTTGACGTGAGAAACGAAGAACGTGGAAGACCACCGAAAAAGTTTGAAAACGGCGAATTGCAGGCATTGTTGGATGAGGATGATGCTTTAACGCAACAACAACTCGCGGATCAATTGAATGTGATACGAGAAGCCGTCTCCATACGTTTGAAAGCCATGGGGAAGATCCAGAAGCTGGGAAAATGGGTTCCACATGAACTAAATGAAAAACAACAGGAAAACCGAAAAACCACTTGCGAAATACTGCTCGCCAAGTACAAAAGAAAGTCATTTCTCCATCGAATTGTGACTGGCAATGAAAAGTGCATATATTTTGAGAATCCTAAGCATAAAAGATCATGAGTAACTCCAGGCGATCCATCGACATCGACTGCAAGCCCAAATCGCTATAGACGGAAGACAATGCTCTGTGTTTTGTGGGATCAGAAATGTGTGATATATTATGAGCTGCTAAAACCTGGCTAAACCGTTAATACTGAACGCTACCGACAACAAATGATCGATTTGAATCAAGCTTTGCGTGAAAAACGACCAGAATATCAAAAAAAGCAATACAAAGTGATTTTGCTTCATGATAATGCACCATCAGACACAGCAAAACTGGTCAAGGAAACGATTGAGGCATTTAATTGGGAAATACTTTCGCATGCAGCTTATTCACTAGTGGTGCGATTCTTTAACTCGTCATTGGAGTTAACGACAATTTCGTTATCGTTGCGCAGCTTTTGTATACCGTAGAAAAGTTGCGCAACGATAACGAAACTGTCGTTAACTCCAATAACGAGTTAAAAAATCGCACCACAGACTTGGCTCCGTCCGATTATTACTTATTTGCATCGATGGGACACGCACTTGCTGAGCAGCGCTTCACTTCTTACGAAAATGTACGAAAATGGCTCGATGACTGGTTTGCCTCAAAAGAGCAACAGTTTTTTTTGACGTGGCATCCACAAATTATCAGACAAGTGGGAAAAATGTATAGCTAGCGATGGGTAATACTTCGAATAAAATATTTTTTATCATCTTCATACAATAAACATGTATTTTCTATACAAAAATTCCGGTTTCATTTACATACCTGGTATATTTCTTTTTATTCCATCCTAGTCAAAGCAAAAACTAGTACAGTAAAATTATTACAATGTCACAATATCTTGCTAAACAATGTTACTATAATTTGCAAGAAGTGATTACATTTATATTCTTTGATATTGTTACATTTTCAAGTGCAATGTTATAATATTGATATAAAATCACTATTATAATTTGTGTTCACTGAATATGTACCAACTATGTAAATATCCAGGTGTACAAAAGTTTTACATTATTATAAACATGTCACACGTACAATATGATATTTGTTTATCTTATTATGTAAAATTCAAATTTCTATGTTACGTTCAGCTCGTTATGTAAGCAAAGTATACACCTACAACGTTCGTCATATAATCATCCTCCAACTCTTTCCTATGTACTGATCTCAATATTCCACAGAGCAAATTGGGTGCTAGCATGTATACATGTGTATGCGTATGTATACGCACATATACGTGCGCGCGCGGATATGTAAGAATATATAGAATATATAGAATTAGTGCGAAAGATGTCCAGGGATAAAAATACAATTTAAAAAGGGCTAAAAATATAATTTTACAAAACGATACGATGTGGGATATATGCGCGGATATTGTGTGTCTGTGAGCCTGTGAGCGTTTGAGAGCTTATTCAAAGATTCAGCACATACAGGGTCTGCTAAAAGTTCCTAAACGGTTAATTATTTCAAAAAATAATGATTGTTTAAAACAATGTTTGAATCAAAAGTTGTAGAGCTTAAAAAAAGCTATCAGATATTGATAATTGTTTGACCATAGAATTACCTTGAGAAACGTTATCAAGATCGACATAAAAATTTTAAATGGAAATTCCAATTGTTTATTACATCGCCTTTTTTCACCATTTAACATTGAACAATTTTGTCTGAAACATTTTTTTACTTGCCTAATATTTTTTGAGATGTTTAAGGATAACTTAGAAACATTTTCAATATTTAATTAACGATATCTGGCTAACTGTTTGTCGTGATAAAAAAATGGTACTAGACTTTTCTATCTTACTTGGTCTTAAGAATATATTGTTACGATAGCGTCCTGACTTTTGTTAATTTGATAATTTTGAAATTTCGAAAGTTCGATAAATTAACAAAAAACAGAGTACTATTGTAGCAATATATTCTTGAGATCAAATAAAGTAGAAACTCTTGTACCATTTTTTTATCCCGACAAACAGTTAGCGAGATATCGTAAGTTAGATATAGAAAAGTTACCAAGTTATCCTTAAATATCTCAAAACATATTAGATAAATAAAAAAATATTTCAGACAAAAGTTTTTCAAATTAATTGGTGGAAAAAGACGGTGTAATAAAATATTGGAGTTCCTATTTAAGATTTTTATGTCGACCTTGATAACCTTGATAACGATTCTCAAGGTCATTCCCAGACCAAACAATTATCAATATCTGATAGTTTTTTTAAGCCCTACAACTTTTGTTTCAAACATTGTTTTAAACAATCATTCTTTTTTTAATAATTAGCCGTCCCGTACTTTTGCCAGACCTCGTATGTTGAGCGTGTATGTGTATGTTCTCGTGTATATACAAATAAACTGTATATAAACATATTACGCACTAAACTACTTCCTCGCGTCCTTCTTGTTCTTTCTCTACTCGACTCGACAGCTTGTTCGTCTTTTGTTCTTATAGAAATGTTGCAAAAATGCTCCCGATATCTGATCATTTTATTCGATTAGGACCGGATTAGAATATCTCTTCTCCATATAACTGCGTAAAGACTGTCGCTTGATGAATCCCGTGCTGTAGACTGCAGATGTAGGGTTATCCAAGTATATACGTATACAGTGCTCCAGTATAGTTCTTCTGCTGTTATACATCTTATTGCGGACAGGACAAACAATTGTCGTCTCAACATATATCTATAAATGATGAAATAAACTTTACTTACAAGGAAAGAGTCCCTCACTGATTTTGATGGGCTTTGAATATGTTATAGAGCAATAAGAAATTAGACACGTATTTTTTTATATCAAGGTTTAGAAGGTGAAACAACTCTATTTATCTTTGGAAATTTCAAAATCATCAAATTAAGTGCAAATAGTATAAAATACTGTAATACTTTTGTGCGGCACATTTTTTCATATACCTCGCATTTTACAAGATATTCGCAAAAAATTAAAATATTGGTTTTTTTTAGGGGTTGTTTCACGCACACTTCTAAAGTTTGAAATTCGCCGTTAAAAAGAATACATGTGTAATAGTTCTCATTGCTCTGCAATATATTCAAAGCCCGTCAAAATCCGTGAGGAACAATTCCGACCCTTTCTTTGTTAGTATAGCCTTGTCACAAATTGAATCTCTGGATTTCTCCGCGCGTTCCTGTGCTTTCCGCGCTTTAAAAAATTAGAGTTTACTTCAGTATATTTTCGGCATTAGTAGGTGTCTTTGGAAAGGTCATATTTTACCTGTTTCTTCAATTCCTCCTCAAGTTTTGAATTTCTTGTAGCAGCTTTCCTTGTCAAGCAGGTAGTCATAATTTTCCATGTGCTTTGCTTTTCTTCTGGTTGATAGGACAATTGTATGTGCGTCTTCAGACCCGCCAACTATTTATACTTCCACAGACAAGCTCAGTACACACTTAGTCATAAGTGTCCGTGTGATTTCGTGCAATGTGTCTTTGGAATTGATTCTTGTTAAATACGTAGTTAACCATTGCTGCAGTTGCATATGGATTGTTTGTAAAGATCTATTTGTAAAGAGGTATTTTTTCTTTTATTATTACTATTACTTAAAAAGGGACATTCCGTTGCATATTTTGAATTTATGAGGCATATTTATGGGCTTTTCAATGCTGGGGCTTCTTCTGAAATGTTTGCCGTACAGGTCGCTCTCTGAAGACAGCCGTGGGTCCTCAATACTGCTTTTCTTTTATTTGTCAGAGTGAACGCGTCGTCTTGTTTTATTTGTCAGGGTGAACGTGTTGCCTTAGCTACTCCTGATCTTTTTTCACCCAGTTACAGCCAGTCCCACTACATACTTAGTTTTTATTATTCATGTGCATTCTCATAAAGTGCTTTTGCATGTCTCGCAAGTTGTTGGTTTCGTAATTGCATTTTTTCTCTTCACATATGTGCACGCAATGTTGGTGAACCTTCATTGAGTGATCTACTAACATTTTCTTATTACAGAAAATTTGACCACAGATTCTGCATTGTTTAGAAAGTTTGTACATTTCATTTTTTTTTCTGAAGTATAGATTACTCTCTGAGGACGGTCCCGTTCCCATATTATTGCTTTTCATCTCATTTTTATACTGACAAATCTTTATGTGGCACTTGAAATCTTTCTTATTCTTATATCTCTTGTTACAGCCGGGCTCAGTACACACGTAGTCGCCGCTATTGGTCGGACGTTTTCTTACGTGTATTTTCTCGTGTCTTTTTAAGTCGATCTTACGGTTGGTTTCATAGTCGCAATGTTTACATTTGTAAATGCGACGTTTATGGACCTTCTCGCAATGATCTATCAACTCATGTTTTCTGCGAAAGATTTGTTTGCAAATGTCGCATTGTTTTGGAATTGCATTGTATTTGTTAGGTTCGCCGCACGGATCACTCACGGAAGGCGGTCCCGACTGCATGACATTGCTTACTTCTTGTTCGTTAGATAGAAGACATCGTAGTTCGCTTAACACATCTTCCTGCAAATTATAACCAAAGTTATAGCTTTACCAAGAACATGTGTACACGTTCTTGCGCTTTCATGTAATGTAATTTTACAAGATTACCAATTTGCTGCTTTTGTAGTTGTATCTGCTCCATTTATTCGTATCAAGGATCTCGTCAAGATCTATCATATCCATCTTCAGACAGAAGTTTTGTTTGCAGATATTACGTCGATAAAATACACTTATACACTTTTCGATGCTGCTTCCTTTTTGTAACGTTTGCCGCACGGTTTGCCCTTTAAAGACTGTTCCGGTTTCTCTCTATCAATTCACTTTTAATTGAGATTCTGACCTTTCTCAATCTGCATGCCGCAATAATTTGTACGCATAAGCGCACAGCTTTATTTTTCTTCGTGGTTCGACTAATTACTGATACCTGAAAGTACAGATGACTGACACATTTCGATGTATACTCTGTATGTGCGACAAGGAACTGTTTGAAATTATTGCTACTTACTTGATATTGACAATATCCGAAAACGAGGTATGTCAGGTAAACAGAAAAGGTCACGTCAAGACGGCAGCGAATAGAGTTTGAACATTTTCTTCATGAGGGAAACACATAATGTCAACATGACATAATCGTCGCGAGTCCCAATCACAAACTTACACACGATGATCGGTTATGATAAGAATCAAAGTACGTCATAGTTGTGTAATCGCTTTCTGGTCACAGAACCAACGAAGAACAATCTGTACGAAAAAACGAACTGTTTATATTGCTCAGATAGGCAGAATATTCCAACGGAATACAACTCTTTTATGTATTGTTATTTTGTATTTATTTAGTGTTATATTTTAGTATTGCATGGTGCATAAGTTCGTGTTTGATTTAAAAATAAATTTCAATAGGTTAAATTTTAAAGAATATAGTTTTATTAATCAGTTATTTAGTCTCCATTCTTTTTTACAATTGTTTTCCAACGATCTACAAGCTTGTGGATTCCATTTTTGGAGAAAGAGCTTGTTTCTTTTTGAAAAAGGTTCGTGTGATGGTTTTCGACAATTTTCTCAGACTTTTAAGATTTTCGCCGTTCAAATTATTCTGTAAAGACCGGAACACATAAAAATCAGAAGGCAATATCTGAAGAATATGCCGGTTGCTGGAGAATTTTCCATCGTAACTCCTGCTGCTGTTTGCAGCGTCTGTTGGGCGATGTGCGGTCTAGCATTGTCGCGGTGGAAGATGATGTCTTTCCGATTAGCCAAAACTGGACGTTTTTTTCGAACAGCCGCATCGGGTCTAATGAGTTGCTCACAGTACATGTCCGTCGTGATTGTTTCGCCGCGTCGGAGTAGATCGATGTGAATTATTTCTCTGCAATCCTGCCAAACACACAGCAATACCTTCAACGGATGCAGGCCAACATTTGCAACGTGTTCTGCACCTTCAGCTGCTTTTTTCCAGGCCCCCTTTCGTTATATGTTGTTGTATAGAATCCGCATCTCATCGCCTGTTCGACCATTCGATCCAAGAAAGGCTCTTTTTTTGTTACGTGCGAGGAGAGAAATTGCCACATTCATGCAGTTCAGCTTAATCCATTAAAGCCCAAAAGTCCTGAAATATTAGTCTTACTTTGCAACTGTATTTTATGTAGAGAAACATATTATACAGGCTATCTATAAAGTCCGACCCCACCCCTGGATCTCGGAAATGGCTTTAAATATGGGAAATTGTTTCAGACAAAAGTTGTAGGGTATTGAGGGGGACACATGATAAAAATAAGGGCTTGGCCTTGAATGACTTTATCAAGGCCAGGTCAATGTAATCGATATTTTCTTAAATAGAACCTCCTATTTTTTATTGCATATTCTTATAGTCCATGTCGAGACGTCTACAAAACACTACATTTTTTTTCTTGCGCAAGCCATTTCCAAGGTATGAATCTTCAAAGTTGACATACCAACGGCATTCGCATTACCCAAGATGTAACGCGTGGAGGTTGCACGGTCGGGTTTACGCCTCTTGTGTTAACGGTGTTAACGGTGTTGCGGTGTGCGCGCGCGGGCGTGTGTGTGTGTGTGTGTGTGGGAACGCGCGTGCGTGCGAGCATGAGTGAGTATGTATGTGTGTGTCACAGTAAAGATATAGACCCCATGGTTTCTCACTCTCGTATTTTTTTACTCCTCTTCACTGTGTGTGAGCGTGTATATAGCCCTAAAAAGGACCAATTTTGTGTGTGTGTTTCTTCAGTCAAAATTCCCGTCTCCTCTTTCTCTCTCTCTCTCACTGTCTCTCTCCACCATTCTTCTTCTCTCTCCCCTTGTTACTTATTTTCTTGCCGTTACACACACACACACACACACACACACACACACACACACACACGCACGCACGCACGCACGCACTCACACACGCACTCACGCACGAGTGATTGACACAAAATGAGTGAAAGATCAAAATATCGTGAACGCAAAGGTATAAAGGGAGGAGCGAGTTTTGCAAATAAACCAAGCAAGCACGTCATCTACCGTTAAACAGATTTGAAATGGAGTCGACGGATCCCGAGAGCGTCGGCATGTCCGCTAAGAAGCTTAGGCTGTCTGAAGATGCTCGTCAAGTTGAAGTAGATGCATCGTTCGGCTATCGTTTGATTAATTTTGTGGCTGTGTTTTCTGCTATTTCACAAGTTGTTGAGTGCAAAGTGTGAAATCGAACGTCACATTTACTGAAAGTGGCAAACGTGGACTTGGTTTCAAGATAGTTATTTCTTGTGTCAACTATGAGAAAACTGAAATTTCCAATGGTCCATATATTAACTGAGCATATGAAATCAATCGGAGAATAGTTCTTGCCATGCGATTACTAGGAATTGGTTTACATGGAATCAAAAAGTTCTGTGCGTTCATGGAACTGCCTCAGCCAATTTTTCATTCATTCTATGATAAACTTATTAAAACTATTCATGATGCAACAGAAACTGTTTGTAAGGTTAGCATGGCAAAAGCAGCAGAAATAGAAAAAAAAGAATGTGCTGAAAATGGATTGGTAGTGTCAGGTGATGGTTCTTAGAGGAAACGTGGATTTTCATCATTATTTGGTTTGGTGACATTAATAGGATGGAGTACTGGAAAAGTGATTGATATAATTATCAAATCTAAATATTGCAAGGCTTGCGAATATTGGAAAAAGAATCTGATACTGCAGAATATGCTGAATGGCTGGAAACACATGCAAACCAATGCCAAATAAACCACGAGGGGTCGGGTAAAATGGAGGTCGACGCAGTTGTCGAAATGTTTCAGCGTTCTGAAAGTTTATATGAAGTGAAATACGGCAGATACATAGGTGACGGTGACTCTAAGACATTCAAAGGTATTTTAAATGCTGAGCCTTACGAGAATTTCACAATACAAAAGAAGGAATGCATCGATCACGTTCAGAAAAGAATGGGAACTCGACTAAGAAATTTGAAAAAAGAAGTAAAAGATCTTGGCAGGAAAGGAAAATTGACAGGCAAGCTCATTGATGAGCTTTCAATGTACTACGGCTTGGCCATCCGCAGGAATCAAAATTCAATAGAAAAGATGAGAAATGAAATTTGGGCAACGTTGTACCACAAGCTGTCGACAAATGAAAAGCCACAACACGGCAAGTGCCCGTCCGGTGAAAGTTCGTGGTGTTCTTGGCAAAAGGCAAAAGCCACCAATACTTTAAATACTTATTCACACAAGCAAGCTCTTCCATAAACAGTTTTTAACGCCATGAAGTCCATCTACGAAGAGTTGAGCAGCGATGATCTTCTTACACGGTGTTTAGGTGGCTTCACACAGAATAGCAACGAAAGCTTCAATGCTACGGTTTGGTCAATAGCCCCAAAATCAACATCAAGTTGCAACATCAAGCAAAACTGTCCTTGATTTTGCAGGAAATCTTACTGTGTGCATCTTCAACGATGGAATAAGCAGTATCACGCAAATTATGGCGGTTTCAGGCATGACCATAGGGTTGAATTGTTATAACTTCTGCATTGAGACGGGCGACCGCCGCATCGAGTTATTCGACCGATCGTTGACTGAAGCTGCAAGAACATCTCGGCTTGCTTTAAAATCAGGCAGGAAGGATGAAGAAGAGGAAAATATCAATTTGGAAGGCCAATTATATAATGCAGGCATTGCAGATTAAAGGTATAATAAAATTTTCTGCTATAGAATGTTACTCAAAACTTTGAACGCGTTTTTCTAAAAACTGCATTTTTCTAATTGGGTGAAATGATAACTCCTACGAACCTTTATCGATTCTCTTGAACTTTTGAGGGTGACTTTTCAGATACATTATCTAGTGGATAGCGTATGGATTTTGCAATAAGTTATAAACTTTCTTTTTATAAACAATTTTTCGGTTAAATTTTTGGGTTAAATTTTTGAAAAATGAACTTTTTTTAAAAAATGTGCACCATTTTTCAAGAAAACGGTATTTTCAAATTTCCGTATGCTATCCAGTAGCTTTTGGCATATATTACTTAAAAATGTTTGGTTTTTTGTTCTAGGTTGAAATCTGCGGGAGCAATCGTTTCGCCCGTTTAAGGCCTCGCATGAAAGGTGCCTTGCAATCTTGGGTTCTGAAGCCGCCATTTTAAAATAAAAACAAATAAGAAAAATTTTTTCTTACACTTAAATGTGTGTTTAATAAAGTACCTTAACTGAATTTTCCAATGCTTTTATTATACTCTTGAAAAAGATTCCCGAAATTAGCCTTTCTTTCTAGGACCTGGAGTGGCCTTACCCCTTAAACCTACGTTTTGAGGCAGCCATCTTGAATTCACATTTTCACCAATGCATACCTTGAAGGTTCAACATTTTTGTGACAAGATGTGACACTTGTATCTGTATCAAAGTAACTTTTTTGATACGAAATCAAGCTTATAAAAAATAAAATTGTCAATTTTTCACGACTTCTTTTCAAAAATTCCTCCATATTGAATTTTGTTGTGAATCTAAACGAATTTTGACGCCGGAATCTTATAGAACGACCTCGAAAACATAGGGAAATGCTGTTCCAACCTTATATAATATATTTATCTACATAAAATACAGTTGCAAAGTAAGGCTAATATTTTAGGACTTTTGGGCGTTAATGGGTAATCCTTTCAGTCAAGAGATGCGGCACATATGTATCGAGCTTGGACGAACGTATCCAAGCTTTTTTAAATGGCGAAACGCGGTCGAATTATCGATCTTCAGCCTCTAAGCAATCTTCTCAGTTGTAATCCTTGGGTTTTCTTCCACTAAGGCACACAGAATCATTACATTCATTAATGACAGTCGTCATTAATGCCAGAAGGCCGTCCAGAGCAGGATTGATTTCCCAAGGGTTGAAATCACCATTTCGAAATCTGCCAAATTACTTTTTCACTGTCGGGAGAGCAGGAGCACGGTCCAAATAAACGCTCTGAATGTTATTTTGTGCAGTCCCAACACTTACGCTTTTCCGACATTCGTTTATAATTTATGTCGCAAATGCACCTTTTCATTCTCCATTTTAAAATATTTTTCTTACACACAAATCGACTTATCTGGACGATGCCTGATGTTAAAGTGACACAAGACACTATTACCTATTCAATGCATGCAACATAATCGAACAAAAGTAGCGGAGTTCCGCCATGAAGTAAGTTAACGGCATTTATGAAAATCGGGCATGAACCTATGCAATCATCTGATATATCTGTACATGATCTTATATACAGGATGTTTGAAAGCTTATTGTACAGACGAAAGTTAGAGATGGATTGGGTGTAGTCGAGAAGAAAAATCATGTACCATAATGTCAAATTGGCAATAGTTATCGAGTTATTAATTGAAACATGTGAGCTAATGAACGCGTAGAGAGTGCTGGGCGGCCGCCTCTTGTCACTCGCTCGCTCGCTCCTCGTCGCGCGCGCTCGCTTCTTGTCGCTTACGGTTGCCCCTCGCCGCGCACGCTCGCCTATCGACGCTCGTTGACTCCGCCTATACCAAATGTCTTACCGCGGCCGTCCAACGCTCTCTACGCGCTCATTGGCTCACATGTTTCAATTAAAAACTCGAGAACTATTGCCAATTTGACATTATGGTACATGACTTTTCTTTTCGGCTACGCCGAATCTATCTCCAACTTTCGTCTGTATGATAAGCTTTCAAACACCCTGTATATACAGGGTGTCTCAGAACTTTGAGACACGGCCTCCGTATGGACGTAGAGCTAAGTGAGAGGAACAAAAAAGTCTTTTTCCATAATGTGAAAATCGTAGTGGTTTTTAACCCCTTCCGTGGCACGGACGCGCGTCCAGCCAAAACAGTACCGTAAGTGGCACGGACGCACCGATGCGTCCAGATCATTTTCGTGTTGTATTGAATTTTAAGTGTAACAACTATTGTTGTAGAATTTTTATCAAGTATTTTTTGGATCGCTGATTACGAATTTCAACTTAGTTTTTTATAATTTGTTAATAAAAAAACTATAATCAAATTAAAATGTCGGAAGTTTGTAAATTTTTTTTCACACACGGGATGTGTGTGAGTGAGAAAGGGAAAGAGGGAGAAACTGAGAGGAGACCGCGGCGTCCAATGGAGGGATCGGCGTCGTTAGAACAGGGCAGCGGCGTCATCGATGGATTTCACGCGACGTTCGGCGTCGTTCGATCGCAGCGCCTAGAGGAATCCGAGTGTTCGGTAGTACCAAAAAACAGACAATGTACGACGAAGAGCGAGCAGCGAACGAGTCAGTTCAAGCAGCAAGAGCATTAAGAGCGATTTTATATAAAAATTGTTAATTTAGTGACTTGAGAAATGACCAATTACTTTTATTTATAATATTAAGCATTTCTAAACATTTTAGTCGCCATATTCGGTCCGCCATTTTGAATTTCTATATTTTGACCTCAAATTCGGCTTCAGCGACCAAAAAAACTGAAGTATACAAATTATTGACAAAATCCGCCCCGTCATTTTTTGGGGCGGTTTCAGTGCATTTTATTGAATTTTGCTCTGCCACGGAAGGGGTCAAATTAAAATATTAGTTCTTTTCAGAGGTTGTCTCACCCTCTAAACCTTGAGATAAAAAAATACGTGCCTAATCTCTTGTTGCTCTACAACATATTCAAAGTCCATCAAATGCTCACACAAATATACACAGATACACTCACACAATGTCCGCGCGTAGTAAATATCCTAAAACAAATCTTTTTATAGAAATATGTTTTTAGCTCTTTTAAAATGGTAATTTTATCCCTGAACATGTATTTGCAATAATTTTATATCTTCTATATATTCTTATACATGCTAACGCGCGTGTATCGACCAAATGAGGTGACCACGCCAGAAATGGTGAAGAAAATCCGCAAAATGGTATTGGATGACCGTCGACTGAAAGTACGCGAATTAGCAAACATGGTAGGCATTTCAAAAAGTGCTGTATATCATATATTGACTAAAAGTTTGGACATGAGAAAGCTGTGCGCAAGATGGGTGCCGCGATTGGAACAAAAACAGCGTCGTGAGGATGTTTCAATCGAATGTTTGGCGAAGTTTCGTAGCAATAAAGCCGAATTTTTGCGTCGACTCATAACCATAGATGAAACATAGGTCCATCACTTTACACCTGAGACGAAGGAACAGTCAAAACAATGGACCAAGGTGGCTTGATGGCTATTTTGAGGAACTCGACGATTCCCACTATAAACAGGGTATCGAAACAGGGTCGAAGCTATTGAATATTGCTGGGAAAAGTGTATTGAGCTAAAAGGAGACTATGTAGAGAAATAAAGATATTTTTCCCCAAATTTTTTGTGTTTTCTTTGTTAGGTCAGGTACTTCTGGGACTACCCTCGTATATATATATATATATATATATATATATATATATATATATATATATACGTATACCAGGTCTGTAAATATGAAACCGGAATAGATGGACCTAGCTGTCAATGTAGTTACCGTCAAACTGCGTCATTGGCGCCATTTCCATTTGTTGACATCTGATAAAGATTTTCAACTCACAACAATACAAGTTTCATACAGCAACATAGTTTGTAATAGTGTTAAACGTGTCGAATTTTGTGCATGGAAGCTACGATTTGCGGACAGCATTGATTTTCTGTTACCATTTGAAGAAAACTGCTGCAGAATCGCATCGAATGCTTATCGAAGCTTATGGTGAGCATGCTCTTGGCAAATCACAGTGCTTTCAGTGGTTTAAAAAATTCTAACGTGGCGATTTTGACGTGAGAAACGAAGAACGTGGAAACCACTGAAAAAGTTTGAAAACGGCAAATTGCAGGCATTGTTGGATGAGGATGATGCTCAAACGCAACAACAACTCGCGGATCAATTGAATGTGACACGGGAAGCCGTCTCCATACGTTTGAAAGCCATGGGGAAGATCCAGAAGCTGGGAAAATGGATTCCACATGAACTGAATGAAAGACAGCAGGAAAACCGAAAAACCACTTGCGAAATGCTGCTCGCCAAGTACAAAAGAAAGTCATTTCTCCATCGAATTGTGACTGGCGATGAAAAGTGGATATATTTTGAGAATCCTAAGCATAAAAGATCATGGGTAACTCCAGGCGAACTATCGACATCGACTGCAAGCCCAAATCGCTATAGACGGAAGACAATGCTCTGTGTTTGGTGGGATCAGAGATGTGTGATCTATTATGAGCTGCTAAAACCTGGCGAAACCGTTAATACTGAACGCTACCGAC